ATTCTGGATATTAACCCTTTATCTGATATGTCATTTGCAACTATCTTTTCCCATTCCGTTGGTTGCCTATTAATTTTCTGGGTTGTTTCCTTGGCTGTGCAAAGACTGATACTTTTTAAAAATCTGTTGTGATGATTAGAAAGATATGCCATGTTAACAGTTTAGCACAGGGCCTGAACCATAGAAAGTGCTTAGTAAATACTACTGAAATGGCCATAATACTAATTTGACCCTCTTAAACTGTAGGTCAACTAGTGATATTTGTAGTGGTTCTAGATTTGTGTATCTCAATGGTCTGGAAAAGTAATGTAGAATTTGAATCAGGAATCTTCTTTTGGTGTGAGTAGATGCTGATGGAAAACTCTTATATCAAAGTTTTCTTAGGACTACTTGGTTATTGAGGTCCTCAGATTCAGACTAGTATATAAACCTGGGTAAAATGATTTTCTGCCACTGGTTCTAAGAACAAGAAGTTTCTGAATCATATTTTCAGGGGTTTGTTACAGTGGATAGTTTCCAAGCAAGTAGCCCAAGTTAGCAGTGTTTTGTTGGATGCAGCAAAATTAAGATTCAGCATTTGAATTTGTCATCTTCACGTATATGAAGCTAAAACCAATAGAACCTTGCCACTTCAAATGTTGAAAGTCATCATGTTCTCAGACTTACAGGATGATATGCCGGTGTGTAAGAAGAGCTTTTTCTCTTGCCCTTGTATCCGGCCGGGTGGGACATGTCACAACCTTTGGATTAGCTTCAGTTTTTTTCAGTGTGGAAGTAAAATCTTAGTGTTTTTGGTGCCCTTAGGTATTCTTTTCATGTACCTCTGATCTTTACTTTCAGGTAGTACAGTGTAATAATTAAGCACACAGACTCAGGAGTTAGACTGCCTTAGTTTGAATCTGGGCTCTGATACATATTAGCTCTGAGATCCTGGGCGAGCTATTACTTAACCTCTATACCTCAGTTTCTGGATTGGAAAATGGTGATAGTAATAGTGTCCTACTTCTTAGGATTCTTGAGAGGATTAAATGAATTAATATAGGTAAAGAGCTTAAAATGGTGCTAGACACTTAAGAGTATCGAAGTGTTATTTATTATTTTGCTCAGACACTATTGATTGTGCTTTTACTTCACATGATTTATAGTGATGATAAGCATAACTTTAAGATATGCTCCTTTGAAGAGGGTACCTCATGCCTTGTACATTCCAGATTTTTGATGCATTCTATGGGAATGATTGCAGTTGTACTTGGCTGGGGTGTGTAAAACCCCCTTTTTTTTTTGTTGTTAGCATAGCACTTACCTTAGTCTATTTCCCTAATCAAGTAATTGAGAGTCTTAATCCTGGTATAGTAGTTTTACTTTTGAGGTCTTGGTAATTGTGGTTCTTGACCAAAGAATAATGACTAAGATTGCCTATGCATAACTTCCTTTGGAGACATATGTCCTATATACATATACATGCATATATATATATATATATAATTTTAACATTTTTTAAGTTATGTTTTTGAGAGAGAGAGAGAGTGCAAGCATAAGCGGGAAGGACAGAGAGAGAGAGAGAGAGAGGGACAGCGTAGAGCCTGATGTGGGGCTTGATCTCACGACCATGATATCTTCACATCTATATCACCTAGAACTCTTAGTCAACCTGAAGTCTTGTAAAATATAATTATTTTGGAAAGTAATGGGAAACTTGAGATCTGAGATAAAATCTGAGACCCTTGTAGACATCCTTTCAGATTGATAAAGTCTCACAGAGCAGATGAAAGATGTCTTTGCCCTCCATCATCAGGGTTTGATAGTAAAAGAAATGAGGCAATATATGTCACAGTGAGCTCGTTCTTTACCTTTTTGAAACTTGTTTTAACATATACATAGTATATATGTTTTAGAACAGTGTTGATAGGCAGAGTGACTGATGGTGTGAGGACTTCCAGGTGGGAAACAAGGCATGTTAGAGAAACTCACAGCAGGCTACCAGAGCTAGTATGCAGCAAGGAAGAGGAAGTCTGCTGTGAGTTGAAGCAGGAGAGGTAGGCAGTGGGAAAATCATGCAGGGTTTTACAGATTATGTAGGGTCATGTTAATAGATCATATTAAAATATTTTCAGTTTTATCTAAGGACCAGTGGGAAGCCATTGAAGATTGGGAAGAGTGATGCTATCATATTATTCTAGCTGCAGTTTATAGAACTGATTATGGGGGAGAAAGAATGGTTCAGAAGCCAGTTAAATTTTGCAAAAGTATAAGTTTGAGGTATGATACTGACTTGTACTAAGATAGTGATTACAGAACTATTTAGGAGGTGAAAATCCACATAACTTGGTGACTACATGTAGAACAGAAATGAGAGGAGAGGATGTTATGATGGCATAGGTTTCTGATTTTGTAGCTAGTACCACAATTTGCAGAGATAGAATACTAGAGGAGGGCTCAGGTTTATGGGGGAGACATTATGACATATTGGGTTTTTTTTTTAAAGTTTATTTTGAGAGAGAAGAAGCATGTGCGTGTGGGGGGAGGGCCAGAGAGAATACCAAGCTGGCTCCATGCTCAGCCCAGGAGCCCGATGTGGGTCTTGATCTCACAACTGTGACATCATTACCTGAGTGGAAATCAAGAGTCTGATGGTTGCTTAACTGACCAAACACCCAAAATATTGAATTTTGAAGTGCTTGGGCAACAACTAAGCAGAGATTCCAAGTAAGCAGTTGGATGAAAGTAGTCTGGAGCTCAGAGGGAAGACTCTCTATCTAATGGTGCTCTGTTTGTGCACAATTCATTGAAGTTTGGGGCTTTGTGCTTTCTCGTCAACTTCTTTATCAATTGCTGTGTCTCCATTATAAAAGCTATTAATTAATTGTGGAGGCCGTAGAGAGATAAAGTGGGATAGAAAATTCAAAGCACTATGTTATCTTTTAATTCTTTTCTGTCTCTTCTCTGTTTCTGAATACAAAATATATAGATATTTGGCCCTAGTATGTTGTCCGCCATATTTAGAAAACACTTAAAAATTTTATACTGGATTTGGTACCTATTTAGCCAGTCTCCTATAGCATACTTCTTATATTAGGCATGCACTAACCCTGTATACAACTCTTCTCTGATTCCTACTACCTAGAGAAGACTTTAGCCTTATGTCACATGCACAAGCTAGGGTTAAGTTTCAGAACCCAGTTTGTGTAATCCTACTCTTTTAGTTTTTATAAGTGTTGGTATTGGTGGTAATACTTGTCTTCAATATTTTGGTTACTTGTCATTTGTTTTCCAGTTTTCCTGAGCTCCAAGTCCTTAGTTCTTTCTGTCTTCATGCCATTTTCACCCTTAGTCTGTCCAATCATTGTTATTGTGATGACCAGAATGGATGAAGCCCTGGTCCCCTCGATAATTCATTTCTCAGCCCTTCCTGATGAACTTCCACTATAGGAAAATACTAAATGTGAGCCCTTGATTACAGTCTTTTGCATTTGCTCATCCTCTCCAGATTAAAGGGAAAGTAGCTTTAGAACTTCTGGAGCCCTTCAGCAGCCTATCCTTGAAGAACTTTCAGGTTACTGCTCTTTTTTTCTTCTAAGCTTAGAATAGAGGCAGCACTTTATCTATATTAGATTATTACCAAGGTCACATTGGCTGCTTTGGGTTCTGACTCTTTCTCATCTGGATGATTGCTTCCTCTGCAGCCATGTCTACTAATGAATTTGGTAGCGATTAAAGCATAGGTCATCTGAAATGCTGAGGCCCCAAAGCCCTCTACAGCTGGCTTGTATAGCATCTCAGTGATGTATATTACAGCAAAGACTCCAAAGCCTCTCCCTATCTAGAAATTGGAGTTGCACCCCCCTGAGAATCTCAGACTTCAGTCTTTGCTACTTTGGCAGTAAGGTAAGATGTCTTTCTCTGGATATAGGCCCTTTACTTAGGAGTTCTGTGATAGACCCTCATTCTGTACTAGAACTCCCAGTGAAGTACAAAATGTGAGCCATAAAACATTCTTTCCTCAAAGAATGAGATGTTTCCTTGAAATACTGTATCAGCCTTTAAAAAAATTTTTTTTTAATATTTATTTATTTTTGAGAGAGAGAGAGAGAGAACAACCAGGGGAAGGGCAGAGAGAGAGGGAGACACCAAATCTGAAGCAGGCTCCAGGCTCTGAGCTGTCAGCACAGAGACTGACGTGGGGCTTGAGCTCACAAACCATGAGCTCAAGACCTGAGCCAAAGTCGGACGCTTAACGCACTGAGCCACCCAGGCACCCCCTACATCAGCCTTTAAAGACTTTTCCTTCCCAACCACTTTTTGGGGGAGTATGGTATTTTTAAAGCCTTGGGTAATTCATATAGAATACCACTACCCCAAAAACTTAGTGTAGGGTTTCTGTGCAGATATACTGCTATTAACACTTCAAGGGCTAATAAAGATTTAGAAAGGTCATTTTTCATTTTCTGGTGATAGCAGAATTTTTAATGAATTAAAAGGGATTAGGCTTTACCATTAGATTTTTTTATGGTCTTTACTCTAAGATTAACTGTAATCTCAGGGTATTATCCTGGAGGTATGGAGCAGCACCATACACAAAAAACAGAATTATCCTGATGATTCTTTGAGTTTGTATAGCTTACATGTCTGGTATCTTCACGTGCAGCTCTGTTTTTGTCAGACGCCAATATTGTCATGGATGTTTAAGTTTTTCCAACCAAAGCAATGAGCAGTTTAAGTATTACAGAAGAGAAGAGTGTATTTCTCTTGTTATGGTATTAGAGGGATCCCCAAAGAAGAGCTGCTTATGCACCTTTTTTTTTTTTGAGAGTGGCAATATTATAATATAACTTTTCCATTTCTAAAGGTAATATTTAATAAATAGAAGCTGGGAAATAGTGGAATTCTGGTAAAGGTTGTAACATTTTAGCTTATATTCATGTACAGATATTATAATTCAAGAATTTGGCATATGGTAAGCATATATAGAAATTGTGGTATTCCAAGAAAAAGATTCAGAAAGCTTTTAAGTTTTTTATTATTAACTGCAAATAAAGCAGATCTGCCCTATCCCCACTCTTAGAAATATATGGACTATTTGGATGGTTTAGGCCTCTACAGCTGTGTTGTCCAGTATGGTAGCTTCTAGCTCCATATGGTTGTCGAGCACTGGAAATGTGACTAATTTGAATTGAGATGTGCTGTAACTGTAAAGTACATGCCACAGTTTGAAGACCTAGTACCGAAAAAGAAGGAAAAAAAGGAACTCAGTTAATTGTTAAATTTTTATTACATGCTGAAATAATATTTTGGATTAATTTGCTTAAGTAAAATATTGAAATTAATTTCACCTATTTTACTTTTTTGAAGTGGCTACTATTGGGCCTTCACTACGTATCTATTGTACATTGCAGTTGGTAAAGGCTGTATTCTTCCCTCTAACATCACTGTGACAACAGAGTCTATTAACTTTTAGTAGTTGGATAACCCTTAAAAGTATAAAAAATGTATTTGAAACCTTAACAAAAATTAGAGCATTTAGATGTCTTTGACAATATCCAGTAAATAGCAGGGAGCTTTAGAAAGGTAGGGAGGCTTCTCATTAAAATCCTTGGAGCTTAGAGGTTACCTAGCTGGGGCAGTATGGTTCAGCTCTCTCCAAAGAATTTTTTCCTTCAAAATTCCCTAAGTACAGAGTTTGCTTCTATAAATAAAAGTTGGAAAGCTGTTTTGTACTAGGGAGATATCTTTTTTGGCTCTGAACTTAGGTCTGCATTTTTTATATACTAGTGTTTGACAGTTTTTTTTGTGAAAGTTCCTCCAGTTTTTATTGAACTCACATATATCCTGGTGATGAACATTTGTTATTGGGTTGAATTCATTGGTCCTCGCTCCTCCTTTTTCATGGGATAAGATCTCTTCTAGAAGACTCTTACCTTGAAGTTCACAAGTATGCTTAGCAGTGGGCGGAGCTAAACCTCAAGCAGTGATTCTCTACTGTGGAAATTCCAGCAGTTTTATATGTTATTGAAGAGTCTTAGCAAACCAAAAATTTAAAAGAATATGTAATTTATTGTGTGGATATTTCATTTGATGGGCAAATTGGTTAGATTGAGAGTGTCCTAAAGTGGTAAACACCATGGACTTTGGAGATAGACTGAGCATAATATTTACCTTACTAGCAGTTACTACCCTTTTGTCATCTGTACAATATGGATGTAGCCCTGCTGTTAGGGGTGACAAAGGGGGAGACAGCTACAGTCCATTTACCAGAAAGAACCCAGCCTTGATTGAAGCTTACTCTACATAGTCCAGTGATTGTGCAAAACCATTTTTACTCTTCCATTGTGTTGTTTTTAAATATATATGAAACCTGTCTTGGATGAATAACTGGAAGACTCAAGTCCTCTGCACTCCTTTCCTACATCTCTGTATTACCATTCTCACTCCTCACCTGTCCTACACCCTTCCCCCAAGTCCTGGCTTCATTCCTCCACTCTGCTGGTTGTCTTCTGTATTCAAATCTTGGTGTATGTACCCATATCTGGGAGGAACACCAACAGGATAAACAGCTAACTCCTGGTGTTGATCTTCTTTCATAGCATAACTTCATTGTGTTAGTATACTAAAATACCACCAGCAGTGAGGATGGGAATAAATAGTATAGGTAAGTGAATACAGACAGCAGAGGGCCCTAGGCAGCCTTAGGGATGATGATAATGCCTCCTATTTCCAGGGATTCTTGTAAGAATTAAATGATAACTTGTGATTGTTTTTTAATTTTTCACTGTTATAAAGCTTTATGAACATTTATACAAAATATTATCCCTTTATCAAATTATTTCTTGAGTTCTTTATATATAGCGCTTTATCAATATCTGATTATATTTTGAGGAGAACCTTTATTACCAAGTCTTATAGGGTATTAAAATATTTACACTTGTAGGAGCTTACAGCAATAAGGGTTGTTTTTCTGGGATGATTATGAAGTAAAAGTACTTGCATTGGATTTTTACTGAGAATACAAGTACCTTGTTTGGATTTTGCTGTTACTGCCCATGAAGAGTTACTGAATACCTAGACCTGTGCTGTCCACTATGATAGTACTTATCACATGCGGCTATAAAAAGTGAAAATAATTAAAGTTAAAAAAAATAAACTTAGTTCCTCAGTTATTCTGTCTACATTTCAAGAGCTCATTAGCTCCATATACCATATGGTAATATGGGACAGCAAGTGTATAGGACATGTTCATCATAGCATAAGATTTTATTGTACAGCACTGACCTAGAGAGTATGAAAGATTAAATACCAAGTGTTTTATTTAAATGGGAAGCATTATCAAAAAGTCTGATTTGTTACTTAAATTTGTTACTAAAATTGCTTATTTGTTATGGTTTTACAGCATCTATAAACGCTGCAATGAATGTAATTTTAGCTGCAAATTTATTATCGCTTTCATATTTCTAAAGTATGTTTATTTTTATAAATAAATAAAATGTCAAATTTTACTTCCTTTTTGCTTTCGTTCCTCATATCCTAATACTGTATTAAAAAAAATTCCATTTGTTTTTGCAGCATTTAAGGATTTGGTTCTATTCCTTGGCCATGGCCCTATGACCTAAAATAATACTGTTGATCGTCTTTAGTATAAAAGGTGTGGTGGTGATTAAGTTGTACACTAGGAATAAGAGGTTTTAAAACAGTATAAATACATCGCCCATCTTTTGTAATTCTAGGCCTTTGGAAATTTAACAATGAGAAACTTTACATTGCTTCTCTTATGGTTTGTTTAGAGAATTGTTACAATTTATAATTTTTTCATTAAAATATCAAAATGGTACGTGTTTTTGTTTATTTTAATTGTAGGAAGCTCTACAAAGGATCATTTCAACCCTGGCAAATAAAAATGATGAAATTCAGAACTTTATTGATACACTAAATCAAACACTAAAAGGAGTTCAGGTATGACTCTTTAAAAAATGTTTGTGTTAATATGTCACAATGAATGATTGTTGGGCCAAACAATATAAATAAATATACTCCATCAACTCTAGATTATGAACTAAAGGAGGTGGGAGCAGGGTTTTTAAATGCAGATAATTTGGTTTATGACATGATAGTAGATTGTTACATATTAGTTCTCTTAACTGGTATGATTACTTCTCTTAATGGAATGATTCATCTTAGTTGAAAAATGCCTAAGATAATTTCTTCTATCTCATAATTACTGCAAGTGTGGATATTGCTTATCTAGAGATTTCACAGATATTTTAAGTTATTGTTGAAATAGAATCTTGCTTAATGAGAGGGTGAGGAACTCTGGGAAGCTAATAGGTTTGAAATGCTTTATTGATTCTGCCACTGGTAACTACTTGTGTGGCTTGGGCAAAGTCACTTTTCTGTATTTTAATTCCTAAAATTTAGGACTTTGACTACAAATTCTAGTCAGAAGATGACTTCTGAGGTTCCTTCAAGCACTAAAATTCAGTGTTTGATAAATCTCTTAGAATTCAGTAAGGAATTGCTTGGTCTTTTAAATTCTGTATATCTTATGTAAATGCACTGTTGTAAACAACCTGAAGGATTTTAAGATTTACACAAAATTAGTCCCATCCCTATAGGCTCAAACTTCTCTTCAGTTATGGAATCAAAATCTCTGAAGTATTTTATTAAAATATTTCATTGATGATTCTAGTGTATGACAGACGTTGAGAACCACTGGCTTAGGGTCTGCCTTGGAACCTGACAAAGGTCTGGGCAAAGTTGGCAACCTTAAAGCAACTTTTCACATTATCCTGTGGAAACATTGCTGTAAAAGATGAAGAAGGTATAGGCTAGTCCGTAAAATGCTGCTTAACTCCTAGCATTAACTGAGAGAGTGCTTTCAGCATTAGCAGCCATCTTCTAGTATTTACCTGTTTTTAAAGGTTATGTCAGGTATTAGAATTTTGTTGTTTATATGATGTTAGGCTGAGGTAGTTTATAATATGAATCTGTTCTCTGATAAGTATTAGCTTTCAAATGTTTAACAGCTCTTCAGTAAAATCGTTGTTTTGTTTATTAAACAGGAAAATTCTTCTAACATACTTTCAGAGTTAGATGAAGAATTTGATAGTTTATATTCTATTTTGGATGAGGTGAAAGAAAGTATGATTAACAGTATCAAGCAGGAACAAGCTCGTAAATCACAAGAGTTACAGGTGAGATCATGCAACATATTTAAATATGAATATTTTCTTCTATTTAGTACAACAAAAATCAGTGAATTTCTGTGAATAACTACTTTAATGTTGAAGAAGAATGGTTATTAACTTTGTTTTGTTCATAGATATCTTGTTTTATCTTTTTTTTTAAATGTTTATTTTTGGGGTACCTGGGTGGCTCAGTTGTTTGAGTGTCTGACTTTGTCTCAGATCATGGTCTCACGGTTCTTGAGTTCAATTCCTGCATCAGGTTCACTGCTGTCAGCATAGAGCCCACTTCTTTGAATTCTCTGTCCCTCTCTCTCTCTGCCCCTCCCCTGGTCACTTTCTTTCTCTCAAAAAATAAACATTAAAAAAAATGTCACTTAATTTTGAGAGAGAGAGCAAGTGGGGGAGGGTCAGAGGGAGAAGGAGACAGAGTATCTGAAGCAGCCTCCTCGAGGTCAGTGCAGAGCCGGATGTGGGGCTTGAACTCACAAATTGTGAGATAATGACCTGAGCTGAAATTAAGAATCAGATGCTTAACCGACTGAGCCACCAAGGTGCCTCTTTTTTTCTCCTTATTTGTGATAAAAATCTAAGATTTACCCTCTTAACTACTTTTATTTAATTCTGAAAGAGAGAGGAAAAGAGTGAGGGTGATTTGGGAAAAGAATGAAGGTGAGTGGGGGAGGGGCAGAGAGAAAGAGGAAGAGAGAAAATCCCAAGTAGGCTTTGCTGTCAGAATGGAGCCCAACACAGGATGATCCCACAAACTGTGTGAGATCATGACCATGACCCGAAATCAAGAGTCAGATGTTTAACTGACTGAACCACCCAGGTGCCCCCCTATTTTATTATTTTTATTACTGTCATTTTTTATTTAAATTGAGATGTGACCTATAACGTTTTATTAGTTTTAGGTGTACAATATAATAATTTGCTATTTACGTATCGCAAAATGACCATCACAGTAAGTCTCATTGACAGCCATCACTACACATAGTTACAGACCTTTTTTTCTTGTGATAAGAACTTTTAAGAACTACTCTCTTAGCAATGTTTATATATACAGTACAGTAGGGGGACCTGGCTGGCTCATTTGGTAGAACCTGCAACTCTTGATCTTGGGGTCGTGAGTTTGAGACCTATGTTGGGGGCCTCAAAAATGTGCAATACAGTACTATTAATTGTATTCACCATGCTGTATATTACATTGCCAGAACTTATTTATAACTGAAAATTTGTACCTTTTGACTACCATCTTGCATTCATCCATAGTTTAAATATTTTTTGGTAGTGGCCATCTTTTTTTTTTAAATATTTATTTTATCTTTTGAGAGAGAGAGAGAGAGAGCGAGCACAGGCAAGGGAGGGGTAGAGAAAGGGGGAAACGTAGAATCCGAAGCAGGATCCAGGCTCTGAGCTGTCAGAACAGAGCCTGTTGTGGGGCTCGAACTCATGTGAGATCATGACCTGAGGTGAAATTGGATAATTAACCAACTGAGTCACCCAGGTACCCCAGTAGTAGCCATCTTAATGGATGTGAGATGATATCTCATTGTAGTTTTGATTTACATCTCTAATGATTAATAATGTTGAGCATCTTTTCATATACTGTTACCCATTTGTATATCTTCTTTGGAGAAATGTTTATTCAGGCCTCTTGCTCATTTTTTATTTGGGTTGTTTTTTTTTGTTGTTGAATTATAGGAGTTCTTTATATATTCTGGATATTAACGCTTTGTCAGATGTAGAACTTGTAATTATTTTCTACCATTCCAAAGGTTGCCTTTTCACTGTGTTGATTATTACCTTTAATATGGGGAAATTTTAAAGTTTGGTAGTCTCATCAGTCTCTTTTTGCTTTTGGTGTTATAGCCAAGAAATTATTGCAAATCCAGTGTCATGAAGCTTTTCCTCTGTGTTTTCTCCTACCAGTTTTATAATGTGGGGGCTTAAAGTCTTGAATCTGTTTATAGTTGATTTTTGTATGTAATGTCAGGTAAGAGTCTCAATTCATTATTTTGCATGTGAGTATCCAGTTTTTCCAGCACTGTTTGTCTGAAAAGATTCTGTAGTTTTCTCATGGTGTGGTTTGACACTCTTATCAAAGATCATTTAACTGGGTATGTGAGGGATTCATTCTGCGCTCTGTATTGTTCCACTGGTCTATATGTCTGTCTCTATGCCAGTATCATACTGTCCTGATTACTGTACCTTTGTAATAAGTTTAAAAATCAAAAAGTGTGAATGAGGTGTCCAGGTTGATTCTTCTTTTTCAGGATTGTTTGGCACTTTTGGGTCCCTTGGGATTCCATATGAATTTTAACATTTTTTTTTTTCTGTTTCTGCAAAAAAGATGCCATGAAATTTTGATAGGGATTGAATTAAATTTGTAGATTGATTTGGGTGGTATGGACATTTTAATAATATTAAATCTTCCAATCCAGATCATGGGATATCTTTCCATTTATTTCTATCAGCTTTAATTTCTTTCAGCAGTAGTTTTATAGCATTCAGTGTATAGGTCTTTTGCCTCTTTGGTTAAGTTTACTTAAGAGTGCAGTATTTCAATTTTGAGGAGCCCAGGTGGCTCTGTCGGTTAAAGCATTTGACTCCTGATTTCAGCTCAGACATGGTTTAATGGTTCCTGAGAATCTCCCTCCCTCTCTCTGCCCTTCCCCTGCTTATGCTCTCTCTCTCAAAATAAAATAAACTTAAAAAAAAAAAAACTGATTTGAAGTGCTTTGAAGGGAGGAAAGGCTTAATAAAGGTAAGAGGGGTTATTTCAGTTAAGAGGTAGGTCAGTTGTTAAGATCATCAACATTCAAAGTCTGGAAAAGTCTTAAAATCATCTTGAAGTCAAGTCAGTACCAATTTGGAGGATAGATCTGTATCATTTATGTCATGGCTTGTGGATTTTGATTTTTACAAGTGTTATTCTTTGGGGTGCCTGGGTGGCTCAGTTGATTAAGTGTCCAACTCTTGATTTTGGCTCTGGTCATGATCTCACAGGTTCGTGAGTTTGAGCTACACATCAGACTCCATGCTGACAGTATGGAGCCAACTTGGGATTCTCTTTCCCTCTCTGCCCCTCCCCCACTTGCTCTCTTTCTCTCTCTCAATATAAATAAATAAACGTAAAAAAAAGAGTTCCTTGTTAACTCAAGATGTTTGAGATTTTCAGAATTAGATAATTACTATCCATTGTGGAGTTTGGTTTAAAATATGTCTTTTGGCGCACCTGGGTGGCTCAGTTGGTTGAGCGACTTCGGCTCAGGTCATGATCTCACACTCATGAGTTCAAGCCCTGTGTTGGGCTCTGTGCTGACAGCTCAGAGCCTGGAGCCTGCTTTAGATTCTGTGTCTCCCTCTCTCTCTCTCTCTCTCTCTGCCCCTCTCCCACTCGCTCTGTCTTTCTCTCAAAAATAAATAAAAACATTAAAAAAAATAAAATATGTCTTTAGACTTCCAAAAGAGCTGTGATATTTTAATTTGAGAACCTATTTCCTGGCAGTCATATACAGAGCTGGATATATGTGTGTACACGTAAAATCTACAGTGCTCTTCGTAGAACAGGCTGCATTTATTGCACTTATACACTATTGAATTTCTATTTCTAGTTGACTAAATTGCCAGTAATACAAAATTGGGTCGTAGAAATTTATTTAAACTCTTTTTTTTTTTTAAACTCTTTTTCTTATTGTCTCAGATGAACTTTGTTTACTTTGGATTTTGTGAATCTTAATTACTTCATAATGAATATGGTTTTGGGGTTTTTTTGTTTTTTGTTTTTTTGCAATTGATCTGATTCATGGAAGTCTTCCATTAAATTTACATTTGGGCTCTTTTTAAAAGGGATGATTTTACTCTAATTTTTTTTGTCAAGTATTCTATCAAATTCATCACTGGCTGTTGAATAATGATGGAGAATTCAGAACATTGCAGAAAATAGAAGCAGAATTCCAAATACTGTTTCAAAGTAGTGGCTACAAGGATGTTAGACCATTTTCTCTTCCTGTAAATAATCACTTGAGATCTTCATTTTTTCCAGAGATTCTATTGGTTTTTTTCCTTTTTTTTATCTTATACCTGATTATCTTTAGTAACTCTTAATACTTGCTGCTCCTCAATGCCGCAAAATTTTGGCAATTTTTTTTTCATAAGAATAGTGATCTAGGGGAGATCAAGAGATATTGAGGGGACAATAAGCTATAAATAAGACTGTGAGTTGTTGAAATATAAGCTTAGTGAAGAGAACTTCATTCTTGAGGATGTTTTTGTGTTATGATTCAAAGGAAAAGTTATGGTGATATCAGCCTAATGGTAATTCAGATCATAAAAGGTTTATTGGAATAGTTTAAAAAACAAACATTAAGAAGAATCACAACTTAACTATTGATGCCATTTCCTTCTTTAGTTGGAGACAGTAGAGCATTTCTGCTTTTCTTTTGGGTTCACAAACTCTATAATACGTTGTTTTCATTAAGATTTTATTAATTTCTCTAAGTAACTGATAAGTTATTGCTCTTTAAATTGAATTCTTTTTACACTTCTTTTTAACTTTCCCTCTTGACTTGAAAGTGAATTCATAGCATTTTCTTAGAATAAGATATTTTATCTTAAACTTTGACCTCAAATTGGATTCTTTTATTTTAATAGTTCCTTGAGATATATTCCTTATTATTTTTGTTATTTCTCACTTTAAAACTACATTAACTTACTCTGTCCTGATGACCCTGTGTAGACCATTTATAGCTACCATTTTATTCTCAGTGATTTTGCTTAAACTTTTCATAAAGCTCTCCTACAATTGAGATATTTCAAATGGTGGTTTGTTAATTATTCCTTGGAGCTCATAAGAGTTTTACTCATAGGAGGAGCAGTATTTTTAGGAGATTATTATTGGGTTCTTAGAATAACACATGAAACCCTATTTTAGCCCAAAATATGGTAAAACTATTCTGTTTTTCCAAAGTTAAAATATAACACATCCAGAAACTAAGAAAATGAGCCATAGTTTATCTTTAGTGCTGATTTTAAGGGAAACCTAAGTAGATTTGAATATGGACTAGATAATAATAGATATTAATATTCTAAAGAAAAGAATCTTGGTTGGGTACATTAAAAACTTAGAAATATGTCTGTTTCTTTGTTTAAAGGTATCACTAACAATAGTTTTTCATGACTGGGCTTAGTTTTAGACCACAGATGATAGAGTGGAAGAGAACTGACTAAGAAAGACTGGTACTTGAAATTAGTATATCACCATAATAGATACACCACTGTGACAGTTACTATCTTTTGTTCCTCTTTATTTATTTTGAAATCTTGCCAGTTGCATTTGTGATTCCTATGTTACCCAATTTTGGAAACTGTAAATTAGCATTTATGGTAATATGTATTATTTGAGTAATGTGATAAATGGAATATTAAAATTGTGCTTAAATGAATGTATATACCTTGATTCATAAACTTTAGTTTAAATTGTTAAGTATCATCAAGAAATTTAGTCTTAATTTATAGAGGATGTTGTCTGCAGATGGATTATTTTGATATTTTAATTTAATTGTTGATAGTTTTCTGATTACCCTGATTGAGAAGAATTTTTAAGTAAATGTGACCCCAGCTTTTTATAACTGCTTTATTTTCTTTTGTGTTTTCAAATGATGGGTATATCTATATCTGCATGCGGTTAAGCTATTTTAGGCAAATTATGGAAAGATGTTAAATACAATATATTAAAATAATTAAAATTTCTTATAAATGTGACTAGTGATTATGTTGCTTTAATAACTCCCTAAAATAATTTTGTTCAATTTTTGCTACTAAAATTATAAGTTCATTATAACAATATATAGTTAAGATTCTCATGGAAATAGGAAATTTATTTTAAAGATTTATTTTTATTATTTTTTAGAGTCAGCTCAGTCAATGTAATAATGCCTTGGAGAACTCAGAAGAACTACTAGAATTTGCAACACGGTCATTAGATCTAAAGGAACCTGAAGAATTCTCAAAGGTACCAAAAAAACAGAAAACGAAACACTTAAATAGAAAAGTTTTGTTTGAAAAAATGGTGCTTTCCCCTTCAGTTTGGGATTTATTCAGAATTATTTATTTCTAATTCTAAAAAAGTCTTTGGGGAGGGTGCCTGGGTGGCTAAATCGGTTGAACATCCAGCTTTTTTTGATTTCAGCTCAGGTCATGATCCCAGGGTCATGGGACTGAACCCCACGTTGGGCTCGATGCTGATCATGGAGCTTGCTTGGGATTCTTTCTCTCCCTCTGCCCCTCTCTTCTACTCATATGCTCTCTCTTTTGTTCAAAAATTAAAAATAAATAAATCGACTTGGAATTTGTTAAGTAAATTGCTATATATTTGTGTATTCTAAAGCAGGCACCTAGTTGTGTCTTTGGGGTCAAGAACAAATTATTTAATTGCTCTTTAATGCTCTATTCAAATGAATCAAGTTATTTTCTTTTTCAGTTACATCCCTGTTGGTCATTTATTTTAAGGGTACTTGTGTTTTTTAGCTGAGTCATACCTTTATTATAAGCATTTTTTGACTTAGGAAAGAAGATTGATATCGCTATTAACCTTTTTAAAAATCTAGTTTTGTATTCCTTCTCTGAGCTGATTGAGAAAACCTCACTTGATGCAGATGAGCACTGTAACCTAGTGGAATTTGTTATTAAATCCATTATTAAATGTCCCATTGCTTAGTGTAATTGTGTGAATGTTTTGTTAAAATACAGAAAATGTAGGTTCTTGTTTTTAAGTTTACTTATTTATTTAGACAGCATGCACACAAGAGCAGGGGAAGGGCAGAGGGAGAGATGAAGAGAGAGCATCCCAGGCAGGCTCTGCACTGTCTGTGTGGCATTTGATGTGGGGCTTGAATTCACAAACCTGTGAAATCATGACCTGAGCTGAAATCAAGAGTTGGACGCTTAACTAACTGATCCACCCAGGTGCCCTGAAAATGTAGGATCTTATATGAAGGCTATGTTTGGTATGAAATGTAAACAGTAGAATAATAAGACTATTTATGCTTTAACCTAGATCCTTGTATTTAAGAGATTCTGAATTCTAGATTCTAATTTTTATTTTAAGTTGGGTCATTTTTAAATGATTACCAATTTACCAAATCAAATACACTCTATTTGATGTAGAATATGGATGTAGAATATATTTTAAAAAAAGGTGTGAGAAAAGTGGGAACTTGAGCTATATATAATTAGTAAAATATATACTATGTAGTAAACTTGTTAAGATATTTGAATTTGATATTTTCTTGGTCTTTGTGGAGTATAAGTGAACTTCGTTAGTGTGGTTTTATAATCCATTTTTATCCATCTAATATTTTAATTTCATGATTTTTCTCTGAATCGAAGGTAGAAAAAGCTTCCTTGAGAAGGTAACGTTTTGGTGGCTTACATCCTTTGCATTTTGAAATTGAATTTTAAAAATGATTAATTGCTTCTAAAATTTTTTAAAATGTTTTATTTATTTCTGAGAGAGAGCGTGAGCAAGGGAGGGTCAGAGAGAGAGGGAGATACAGAATCTGAAACGGGCTCCAGGCTGTGAGCTAGCTGTGAGCACAGATCCTGACGCGGGGCTTGAACCCACGAACCATGAAATCATGACGTGAGCCAAAGTAGGACGCTTAACCGACTGAGCCACCCAGGTGCCCCGAAAATGGATTAATTACTTCTAATGAAATGAATAAAAAAACTCTTTTGCTATAAATTTGTGAATTACTTAATTCTTGAATTTGGAGATAGTTTGTAAGTAGGTTCTTCTTTGCATTTGGTAGGACTTGCTATATAAAGGAATTATGAGGGAAATGTATCATTCTTTAAAGGACTTTAAAAGTATATATATATCACCTATTCAAAGGATGTTTATGGGATAATCTCAAATATCTGGAACATAGCCCAAAAATATACAGAAAGTGAAAAATATGAGTCATCAAAATCAGTGTCATAGAGTTCATGGGCAGGAATTAATATTCTTTTTTCGTGATAGCTCCTTAGAATCTGGTGACTTTTATATACATGGTGCTAGTAAATTTTTAGTTTTTCCTTCAGTTTCCTACTTGTTAACAGAGTCCCCTTCTAGTGGAGTGCGGTAGCTGTTAATGACAAATATAATCATAACAACAGGAACTAACAGCCTGAGAGTGAGAAAGAAGATAGGAAAACAATAAAATAAAATATAGACAAAAGTACTCAAAAACAGTGTGAATCCAGTTGCATTTAAGTAGGGACAGACACTTTGGAGAACTGTGATAAGTGTTTTTCTTCCAGGTTTCTCTTTCCACTATTTTCTGAGTCCTTTCCCCTTGCTCTCAAAGGCTGCTATTTTCTTTTTTTCCTTTGTCCTTTCTTTGTTCAGACTTATTCCCAGCTGATTGTAAATTGGAAAGGTTCTTATAAAATAAATTATATTGTAGTTTAAACATGTTTTCTTAATGTTCCATGTTGCTTCTTATTTTATTATTTTGGTTTTTCAGCATTGTGCAGTACTGCTTAATTGCTTTAACCATTTGGAAATGTGGTGAAGTAAATTATTTGTCATTGTTTCCTACCTAGAAATCTGAGTTTATTGTTCAAGAAAAATGCTTAACTGAGAGTTGTTTGTGATTATTTTCTTAGTACATCCAAATAGTATCCAAATAATGGTTTGATTCCCAGTCACAAACCAAGTTCACTTTTCTAGCAAGCTGCGTGGACTGTAGATAGGCTTGCCTCAAACACCGAATTGTTGACATAATAGGGAAGATGACTTAGAAGATTAATTATTGGGTTAACAGTATATTGTTAGATATTTGGAAAAATAAATTCTTTCAGGGTATACTGTTTATGAATATACCATATTAAAGTAATTAAATCAGATTAATTTGAATAGCTCATGGGCATAACAAATCGTAGGCTGACATCTAGCCTCTGAGTCTTTTTAGACTTCATTATCTTCAGTACTTTAAGTACTAATATTTAAATGATCATGTTGCAGTACCTCAGCAGGATAATTGAATATGAAGCTATGCTATTTACCAGCATTAGGCAATCTGAAAATGAATGAGTAAAAATGGCACAAAGGCAAAAGGATATTGGAACATACTTTCATTAATTTTTCAAAATTTGGTATTACAAATTTGTTTTATTTTCACTAACTTTTTTTAATTGTTAGAAGTTTGGTTGATGGTAAATATATGAAGAAGGATCACGAGCAGATGAGATTTGGATCATTTACTTTGTTTCTGGATGGGCAAGTAGCCAAAACCCCACCAAACATGACTTCTCTGCTGATAGCTGGTCTACAGAGCATTGCTTAAATCCTTTGACAAAATTAATATTTCTATTTCCCCATTTCTGAAATTAGAACTTGAATTCTACTTATGAAAAGAGCTGAGTCTGTGGGGCAGTTTCCAGCTCACTAACCATCCAGTTCATTATCTTGCCACCCCTAACCCAGTTGTCAGACTAGAAGGGAGGGAGTGGTTACCTGTACACGGAGCCTTTAGTGGAATAAGAAGTACAAGGTGGGGTGAAAGGGGAACAGTATCTTCTGCATTTGATCATAGATGAAAAGGGAGGATGGGTTTTGTGTATTTCCCACTTCTGACTCAAAGTAACTCACCATTGGCATATTGTTCATTGTCAGCCTTTGACCACTGGGCAGAGCAAATAAGGAGATGGGTTGAAGCTCACTGTTTTCAAGGAAAGAGGAGTATTGCAGAAGTGCTTTCTGTGGGTTGAAGTCAGGAATGCTAAGAGAGAAGAGAACCTTTACCAAAAGCATGAATGTTTCAGTTACAAAGATAATTTAAAGACAAATATAAATATTTGTTAAGAATAGCTCATATTGGGGGCACCTGGGTGGCTCAGTTGTTAAGCTTCTGACTCTTGATCTCAGCTCAGGTCTTGGTCTCAGGGTCGTGAGTTTAAGCCCTGCGTTGGTTGGGCTTCACACTGGGCGTGAAGCCTACTTTAAAACAATTTTCAAAAAGAATAGCCCAAACTGTATTTTTTTACATTATTTCATTTGTGGGCATTTATGTCATACAGGTATATAGTCTCCTATTATATAAATGTGCTTAGTCAGAGAACAGATGTATACAGTACTACATTCAAAGTTTACTTCAAGTTATTTATTATAGCTTTGTGAAGAAGGCTTAAATGATCATGTTTTAGTTCTTTTTATAAACAGATTAAGTATATGTATTGAAAATATAAAGCCTTTAATATATGGATTCAGCTGGTGTGCAGTATTTGGTTTTTGTTTTTTTTTTTTAAGCTGGTATTTTTGCCTCAAGGAAAATAACATTTGGAGCCACCTCTTTTTCATTTTCTTGGAGTCCCTTTCATATCCCAAGTTATTCCTTAATAGAGTATTTTTGGGGTGAGGGTAGGAGTCTCAATTACATATTATAAAAAGTATTGGGAAAGTATTAAATGTTTGCCCCTTAGTCATTTTCAGATTGTCTCAAGGAAACATTACAAAATTATCTTTCCCAATCTAATGGGAAAATCTGAAGTATAAAACAATGTGAACATATAGACAAGAGTTGAAAAGTTTCTTAGTGTTGTGTGGCATTCAGAGTGTTCCTAGGAACTCTGTTGGACTCTATTGCAAATCAAAATAAAGATAAATCCTGTCAGGCAAATGCGAATTTTGAAATCTAGCTGTTGGTACATTCATCGTTTTGACAGCATGAGTGTATTTTTCTCTGTTGTTATTCAGAAACAGATATACAGTTGGCCCTTAAACAACATGGCAGTTATGAGCACCGACCCCCATATAGTTTAAAATCCAGTATGACTTTTGATTCACCCAGAACTTAACTACTCATAGCTTACTGTTGACCAGAACCCATACCTATACCATAGTTGATTAATGTATATTTTGTGTGTGATGTCTATTATATGCTGAATTCTTAAAGTAAGCTAGAGAAAAGAAAATGTTACCAAGAAAATCATAAGGAAAAGAAAACACATTTACAGCACTGTGCTGTAAAAAACCTGTATATAAGTGGGCCATGTAGTTCAAAACCTGTGTTGTTCAAGGGTCAACTGTATCCTTATTTTTGTTGCTTTTTATTAATGCTCTGATTTTAACTAACTTTTCCCTGGTGGCCTCTTCATTTTAGTCTATATTTCAGAGAATTCGATTGTTGAAATGTTTAGTTTGGATAATTTTTAAAAGTTGTTATGTGAAAATAAGATGGTTTAGGATGAACTTTTGGGGTTCAAATATACTTTAGTGCTCGTCACTTTATAGATGAGGTAACTGAATCCTAAAAGAGTTAAGTGACTTGCTGGTTAATGTGGTGTGAAACTCAGATCTATTAAACCTTGGTCTCATGCTCCATATTTTTTGCTGATGAGTTTTAAAACTTTTGGGAAGAAATTTTGAAATCTCCAATTTTGTTCCTTTTGGGTAAATGATTCATTGAGTACAATAAGCAAGATCTAAAGCTTTTATTATTATTCCCATTTTAACTGTTTAGAAAATACTATTCAGTTAGTTGCTTCACAGTTTAGTTAATATTTTAGGGTACTTTGTATGTAACATCTTCCTATAAAAGCAGAAAAATGAGGATATTAAAAAGAAATAAAGGAACAATAAGATCTGAACTTTCAGAGTGCTGGATAAATTAATGGAAGAAAATAGTTTCTTTATCTACTTATAGCAGATCAAAACCAAGAGAGATTGGGAAAAATCTGGTTTAATGTCTTTATATTTAATTGGCAATTATGAAGAAGCATGTGTAATTACTCCTACTTATACTCTTATTACAGTTCTATTTAGAGAAGTTTGGTCTCAAGTGACAGAGTCCTATAACTGATAAAGGATCAGAATTGTAAGATTTATTTTTTAAAATTTTTTAATGTTTTGTTTATTTCTGAGAGAGAGAGAGAGAGAGACAGCATGAGCAGGGGAGGGTCAGAGAGAGAGGGAGACACAGAATCTGAAACAGGCTCCAGGCTCTGAGCTAGCTCTCAGCACAGAGCCAGATGCGGGGCTCGAACCCACAAACCGTGAGATCATGACCTGAGCCTAAGTCTGACGCTTAACTGACTGAGCCACCCAGGCGCCCCAAGATTTACTTTGAAAACAATTAATTGAGAGATGGAGGAAGGGAATGGGAGAGAAAGGAGCCATCTCTGATGGCATTAAAGATTAATGAAGCATTGGCAAACAGGATTTCAGTAGAAGATTGAAATAAAAATAGTTATTGAAATTGAAATAGAAAACGGGTATTGAGCAAGGTGATATGGCTAATACTTCTTGGAGGCTTTCTAATAATATACAGTGCCATTACCCAAAAATCTAATGATTCATTGAGGCCTGTTCATAATTCACTAAGTGGAATTATGTAGATGCAAAAACATGTGTTAGAGATAGAGCAGTGGTAAATTCTGAAATCATTTGGTACCTGGTAAGCAGAGATGTTTAATTGACAGAATGAATCACTCTTGAAATTGAAACTTAGAGGAATTAAGCAACATAGCAATATGTCTTCTGGATAGATTTCTGTTTGGGGAGAAGAAATTACAGAAAAAAATTTAAACAATTTATTTCCCAATTTAAGATGTTTCTTGAAATTGGGCCCTTTTAGAGAAGTATCTTCAGCATTTGAGACTTTCTACCCTTTTATCATTGCACAGAGTAACTTTTTCAACCCCTTCTGCATTTACACAGTGTATGTAGTGTTAAATTCGAACTTAAATGAAAGAGGAATTGCTGAGTCTTCAGTTTGGTCACTTGAGTATATTTATGTATAGATACACAAGACAACAGTTTTTCCAACATTATTTGGCTTTTCATCTATTCCTTTTCTGGTTTGTCACAAGCAGCCTAGTACATTAAATGATAATAAGAAAGCTTTACATGCATATGCACATGCACACACTTGCACACAGACACACTAAAAAATGGCAGCATTACTAAATTAATTTTTTTTTTTATTTCTGAGAAAGAGAGAGAGAGAGAGAGAATGACAGCGTGAGCAGGGGAGGGTTAGAGAGAGAGAGAGAGATACAGAATCTGATACAGGCTCCAGGCTCTGAGCTGGCTGTCAGCACAGATCCCGACACGGGGCTTGAACCCACGAACTGTGAGATCATGACCTGAGCCGAAGTTGGATGCTTAACCAACTGAGCTACCCAGGCACCCCCACCGTTACTAAATTAAGTAACTCTAGCCACAAAATTGAATCACTATAGTCAGGTTTTTTTAATGTTTTATTTATGTTTGAGAGAGAGAGAATGCATGCGCATGAGTGGGCGAGGGGCTGAGAGAGAGGGAGACACAGAATATGAAGCAGGCTCCAGGCTCTGAGCTGCCATCACAGAGCCCAGTGTGGAGCTTGAACTCACAGGGAAGTCATGACCTGAGCCAAAGTCAGACACTCAACTGACTGAGCCACCCAGGTACCCCCACTATGGTCAGTAACTGACCATAGTGATTCAACTGGTAATACATAATTTACAAAGATTGACATAAAAACAATCATCTATTTAGATATATTTTTGTAGAAAGGAAATACATTAGCATTTATATTTTCCGCAATCTCATGGTCTACAGACATGTAGACTAACTCTGGATCTATTTGCAGTGATGTAGTGTGTTGCCCTGCATTTCAGACACCAAAACCTACCTGGAAGCTAGGGGGTTCTTTTTATTTCATTATTATAAAATAACCAAAAATTTTAAAAAGGCATTAATTTTTACACCAGTAAGAAAAAACAAGTTTTTGCATTTACCTAACTTTTGATTGTCTAAAAAACATTTCAGCTTTTAGTCTTTCAACAAAGAAAGATAAAATGACAGATCGTTGTGTCTTTTGCTTCTGTTCTCACATTTTACAAAGGTTTTCTCTTTTTTTGTCTTTTTAAAAATTTTACTGTTTAACACTATTCAAAAAATAGAGCATGCTCAGTAGAGCATGCAAATCTTAATCTCAGACTCATGAGTTTGAGCTCCACTTTGGGTATAGAGTTTACTTTAAAAAAAGTTGTAGGGAAATTAAACATACATATCACATAGTGTTCTTGAAAGATGAAAGAAAATCTTAGTTTATTAAAAAAAAAAAAAGGCAGTAATGGTCTTCAGGATTGTTGGGTTCTTTGAGAGTGACTGGTAAGTAACATTCCTCTAACCAAGTTCTAAACTAGTTGGGAAATAAGATAAAACAGTAAAGCTGATAAGCCACATACCAGTAAATGATACAGGAGAATTTGGCTTATATCAAAGGGCAAGCTTTCTAATACTGAATCCTAGAGTTAGCTAGACTTGCCCACCCAGATATGGTCAATACAAGACTACCTCAGTTCTGTGTGTGGGTGAGAGGGAGCCTGTTTGTGGAAAACTTCCTACATAGAGGGAAAGAACAGAATATATGTTCTCAGTAGGCAAGCAAACTCCCAGAAAGAGGGAAAGTAGCTGAGCTACTTATTTCTAGTTTCTCCTTTCAAACTCGTGTCTGATTAAGTCCTTTCACCTCACCTGGAGAAATGAAGGAATAAAAGGAGGCTGGGGTAATGCTAGTGGCACTTCTCTATATTTAAAGGAACAGAAGAGTCTCCTCTGTTAAAGGGAAGAGAATGATTAGTACACAGGTCTCACAGTTGATTATGATAGTGCTGGCAATGTGTCATATGCTGATGTCCTGAATGTCAGTTCTGGTTTTTTGTGTAGAAAGAAATCAGACCAGGATATTTTGGATGGGTAGAAAAATGACCTAAACCAGATAAAAACAGTATTAGAACTGAAGAGGAGAGGCAACAGAAGCGTTGCTATATGCATCAAACTAGTGTTCAATTAAATTTAATAATTATTAGTATTATCATGTGCCAAGCTTTATGCAAAGCCTAAGGTTAGAGTATAGAGCAAAACAGCCACAGATTACATTGGATGTATCGTTAATTTTGGTGGTCATTTTGGGAGAAAAAAACACTTTTGTTAAATATATTACATTGTATGTAAATGAAGGGGACAACAGTTTTTGTGGGTATTTTTCATTGTTTTTCTGCATACTCTGTAGGACCAAGTGTAGCCCTTCCTAAACTTGTGCTAGCCTTCTCAAAAAAAAATATATATATATATACACACATATATATATGTATATATGTCATGCAGAGTTGCAGAGTAGATTTAAGTTACCAGCTTCTATGTCATCTCAGGGAAAGACCTGTTATTGCTACAAGTATTTCTCTGGTTTCTCCTTGTCTGAATTTTTGTCATTACAACTTTACTCTTTGGGGTAAAGGATTGTAGAACTGCAGCCCAGTTTTATATGTTAGCAGGCAAACTCTCAAAATACAAAGTCTTTGCCCAGGGAAGGCATATAGAGAAAACTTGGAACAGTCATGATGAAATGGTCAAAGAGATCACTGAAGAAAAATTGGAGAACAGCTTTGACATGTATAAGAAAACCATTAGATTGCATAGAAATGTGTGCCCCGTGAAGGAGATTGATTGTTCTAGTTGAAGAGTGTCAGACTGAATGGAAGTGGAGGTGTGCTTTGATAATCTTAAGGTAAGGAAAAAATATTTATAGTCATCTGGAATTAGTTTGAAGTGTTAAATTTTCTTCCTTTTAAGGTGACTTATATGGGATCTGGATTTTTTTTTACTATAATTCTAACATCACTATGCAAGCAGATTATGAACTGTACAAATTTCCTGTAATTCATGTTTTAGTATATGTGCTGCCGAAGCAAGCACCTGTAATTCATGTTTTGATGACTGTGAAACTAATCTATTCCAGGGTTTATATCCTAACTTTTCTTGCATGTCACTGCCATTGAAACTTGCATGAAAAACACTAACTGCCTTCTTTCTCTTCTCCCTGATTTGCTTCAAGGCTGCCAGACAGATCAAGGATAGGTATGGTATACAACCTACATTTTTATATGTGTCAATATTGAAGTCAGAAATGAAATTCAAGAACAATTTCTTACTAGACTTTTGTTGGTTATAATAAAAATATCTAATAGCTAAGTATAAAAAAAGGAAATGTTTTCTGCATATCTTCTGGATAAACAGTATATCAGCAAGATTAAAAAAATTATTGTGGACAATTATGCACTTCCAAAAGAATTTCATTTCTGGTATAATATAGTTAGTTTTAGTATAGTTCTTTAATTACCTATGAATGGATGGGACCCATTTTGGATAATTAAAAATTATATATATGTTCCTGGAATGTATCTTTTTGTTCATAAATTTTATAATTATGTCTTATTTTCTGAGAAATCATAGCATTTTTTAATAGTCCTCAAGAGCTAAAGCTCTCCTACTTCACTGCTCTCCTGATTAACACCTTTGTATTCTCATTCCATCCTGTTCCTGGTGCCATCTCTTTGTATTTCTCATGCCACTCCTATCCAGTGTTTGGGAAGAGAAAATTAAAATGATGACTTTAAGAGGTCTTTCTCATTGGTAGAGACAGGATTAAAAAAGGTAATTTAGTACTTGCTGTAATGAATACACCAAAGGGCTAAAAGAGCTGCTGGCAATTCTGGATTGGGTTACCACAGAAGGGAAGCTCTTTCTACCTAATCACTGCACATTGACTATAGTGAGATTATCACTTAAGGATTCTTCCTTTGAGGATTATGAAATTTGCTGAAAGGCATAGCTCTTTAAAGCACCACTCTGAATCCTAGATTAAATTATTTATTCTTCATCAGATAATTCACAAAATTATCATCATGGGTTGTGTGAAAACCACTATGTCTATTGTTAATCTGGGCTGAAGTCTTCTGTTTCTCTGATGGCCTGTTACTGGATTAGAGGCAAGACTTACCTGGCAGTCTTAGGTTTGAGGTTTGTTGTGGATTTCTGGTTCTTGAAAGAAAGAAATCATAAAAGCCTGAGTCAAGTTAATTAGGTAGATACTTTGAGGAAATTGAAAGTGTTCATGCATATGTTTTGCAGTTATTTATTGTCTTTGTAAAAATAAAACTAAGGGGAAAGGATCCCTGTATCCAGCTTGTATTATAGGAAATAAACCAAGAAAGTCAAGGTGAATTAAAACAGTCCTAACCACATGGATCCTGTAATGTAGAGAATTATCTAAGGATTTTAGATTGTTGTTTTGGGCTTTGAGACACAATTGTCCAAATTTATTCAGTTTAAAAATAAAAAATACATTCAGTCTTTTGAAAGATTACAGCATTATTTTACATCTGTATTGATTTATGGAGACTGAAATCTTCATTGACTAGAAAATAAAGATTATTATTCTTGTTTTTTAGGTTTTGATAGACCTTTCTCACGTACTTTTGGGGGACATTCTTTTTCTTTGAGGCCATAGTGACTAAAATCAAGTTTTGTAGATAAAGTTTCAGATTTAAATTCCCTAAAATACTTCCAGATGTTTTTTAAACAGTTCTCAACAAACATTTAAGTAGGTTTAGAAAGCATCCAAGTACGTTCAAACCCATTTTTGATTCAGTGGTCATTTACTAAGTACCTATCTGAATATAGCTCTTTCAGAAGTCTTCAAATCGAAAGATACTTGGGCTATAAAGAAAAAACTAATGGGGCACCTGGGTGGCTCAGCCAATTAAGCATCCAATTCTTGATTTTGGCTCATGTCATGATCTCACAGTCATAGGATTGAGCCCCTGTCAGGATCTGCGCTGGGCATGGATCCCACTTCAGATTCTTTCTCTCTCCCTCAGCCCTTCCCACTCACTCACATGCATATACTCTCTCTAAAAAAATAAAAGAACAAAATAAGACCAAGCGTTTGTTCCTAACTTGTTATTAATATAACCTGAAATTTAATTATTGAGAACCAACAGCTTAAAGTAATGTGTGTGAAATAGTCAGCATTATGTTTGGTTTTCAGTGAGTTCCCTTCCCAATCAATTATATTTCACTGTAGCAGATTCTTCTTGATCAATAGATCAGTTGTCATTGTTATTAACAAAGTGGTTACCTTCCTAGTTTTAAAAAAATAAAATAACTGAATACAGCATCAGTTTGACATTTTTTATCCCCAACTAACTGAAGATAGCAAGTTTGATATCTTTCATAACACATATCTTGGTAGGTTTGGCAGATTTGAATGACTAGGCCTAAGATTCCCTTTGTTCCTCAGCTCCATTTACTTCTTCTCCCAACTTGTGTACTAGGGGGACATCATCCATGAATAGTACTTTTGTGTTATTCTTTGACCAAAGATAATAAGGGGTGATACTTTGTGATACTTGTGGAAACTTACTGTAATATAAAAAATTAAAATTTGAGATAAAATGACAATTAATAGAATATGAAAATGTCTTTTAACCTCCAGTTTTAATTGACAGAACAGTTCCCCCATACTTTGAGTAAAATGAGGTCTGGTATGGACTCTTTCTTTTTTTGTTTTGTTTTTTATACCATATTCATCTAATAAATAATTTGTTGGAATATTATGTCCATGGCATATGGTTTCACTAGGCTGTTTCTCCTTGTATCCTTCTGTGTAGCTGATGTTGATACATCAGGGTGACAGCTACTAGCATGGTTTTCAAAATTGTGATTTCACATCTCTCCTTTCTCATCTATGGCCTATCTTTAGCAACTACCAGACTGCACAATATTTGGTCAGTGTACTTTTACTTTTATTTGAGGATACATGGAGTAGCTGTGACGACTGAGGAGAATGTACAGTTCATGATTTGGCACATGAAAAGGAGTGAGGTTGGCATCAGGAAGTCAGTGAGATTGAGTGTACAGAGGTTCAGATACCTGTTGGGTCTGCTAACGATGATTTTATATGGGATATTTTCTTTCAGATATTTTTATTCATGTGCAATTTTATAAAACTGTCTGGAGGAAAGTTGCTTTAAGTTATATTTGAATGTCTAAAATTAAAAACATTTTATAGTTTATTTAATTTTCAAAAACTCTAAGAACAAATTTCTTTTTAGCTTTGTTACCTTTGTTATAGTTTCTGAAATCACTAAAGTGAAATAAATTGACTTTTCATTTATAAATTAAATATGGTATAATCCCCATTCTTTTATTTTTAAAAGTGTATTTTTGTTTACCATAGAGTAACAATGGCTGCAGCCTTTCGCCTTTCTTTGAAACCAAAGGTCAGTGACAACATGACTCATTTAATGGTGGATTTTTCTCAGGAAAGACAGATGCTGCAAACTTTAAAGTTTTTGCCAGGTAAGTATGTACATATATGTAAGGTGGTTTTTTGGTAATGAACTTTGAAATGTAAATATTAAAGAAGTATAGTGTGGATTTTTTAATCAGTGAATTTAATTCTTTAATCAGTGAATAATTAAATTTATTAGTCTTTATTTTTAGAGAATTATTTCACTGGTAGTAAAAATTTTGTTTTGAGAATCTATCAGAGGGTATCTTTTATTGCTAGTTTGGCAGAGAGAAGCAATAATATCATGATGGTTAACAGTGGGTTTTAGGGCCAGACATAGATTTAAATCCTGGCTGCTATTTACTTACTGTGAACCTTCAACAAATTATTTAACTTTGCTTCATTTTTTTTCATCTTTAAAATGTGATGGTATTCTTCTAGGGTTTGTGTAAGGATTAAATGAATTGAAATCTCTAACTCACTTGAAAATAGTACCTGGCACATAGTAAACACTTAATGCATATTAACTGTTGTCATTACTAGTATGGTTGTGGTTGTTGACTCAGATGAAATTTTATTTCCGGTAATAATATGTTAACATTGGCTTATTAGAATATTAATACGAGGATGTTTCAGTAGCCAAAATCATTTGAAATAGAGTCTCAAATTATTTTCCACATGTGTGAGAGAGCCAGCTAAGGACTTTTTGGTTAGTATTCTCTTTTTAGCTAACATCAAGTAATGGTGTTAGGCTGATAGCTAAAACAATTTGGACATGGTAGATTGAAGGGACAAGTGCTTTTTTACTTACTTACAGGTGCTTTTTACTTACAGGTTCTAGTTAGAACTGACCTTTATTTTTTGGAGGTTAGCTGTTTTTGATTAGAGAGTGTTGATTGTATAAAACCATTCTCTCAATATTTGGTCAGGGACTTTAAAATATGATTGGAAAAACAGATTAGTAGTTGTGAAACTATAATGACACTAATAAGGGTAGCATAAATGACAGTAAAACCTTGGATTGTGAGTAACTTGTTCTGCGAGTGTTCTGCAAATGAGCAAAGATTTCTAATAAATTTTAACTTGATAAATGAGAGATCGCTTGCAATACGAATAGTACATGACACCAAATGTCACATGATCACAGCTGAGCCAATGATTCTTGAAATTCTCCTTGATCTACAAGTGCTTTAAATTACAAGCATGTTTCCAGAATAAATTATGCTTGCAAACCAAGGTTTTACTGTATTAACTTGTGTGGAACAGGTCAGAAGTTCTAAGGAAGCTTATAGAAGGAAAAGATGAGAGAAGGAGCCATAGATGTAGAATAGAGGAAGAAAGTATACTTGTCAGTGGATATCTACGTGTAAATTGGCCTTTCAGAATTACTGTTGTCATTCACGCTTTTTTTAATTAAAAAATTTTTTAATGTTTATTTTTGACAGAGAGCGAGCATGAGTTGGGGAGGGGCAGAGAGAGAGGGAGACACAGAATCTGAAGCAGGCTCCAGGCTCTCAGCTGTCAGCACAAAGCCTGGTGTAGGGCTTGAACTCAGAAATCATGAGATCATGACCTGAGCCGAAGTCAGACACTTAACTGACTGAGCCACACAGTTGCCCCAACACGCTACTTCTAAATTCAAAAGGAGAGTCAAGAGTGGTGGATTGTGAATGTACACATGAGTATTTTATTTTATTTAAAAAAAAAAAAAAAAACTACGAAAACCCAATCTTCTCACCATTCCTTTCCTTGGGTTTTCTGTAATGGTTTAACAGACCAAGGCCATGTGTACTGTATAGCCAAGTAGATTATATGCACAATTAGGAGTTCCTCTTTTGACAAACTGTTAAGACAGTCTAAAACTGTGAGGTATAATAAAAAAATAAAAATCATTTTGTGGAGAAGTTTCATCTCTAAGGAAAAATGTAGGTTATTAAAATTTATGAAAGATGAATTCATATCACTAATTTTTTATTCTGCTACAGCATAAAAATTACTCATAAGGTAGAATCAGATTAACTAGAAAAACAAATATCTCATCCCTTAAGAATCTATTCCATAAACACCACAAAAGTCAACTCTACATTGTAGTATGTATAGTAACATGAATTGTGGACTTACTTGAGTCTCAAAAATGGAAGTGATGATGATGAATGATAATAATTACAGTCATTTTCTTCTACTCTAAGCTATTTTTTATACATCAAAACTTAAGGATTTATATTCTCTCTGAGCTACAGAGAGAAGATTGTCTATGGCAATGTTGATGCCACTTGTCCTTTTATATTTATGTGCAGAGAAAAACTTAGTAAAATTCTTGATCCACTTTCCACACTATTGCCAGTTAACTGTTACTTTATGGAAATTGCTGTGAATTGCTCTGCATTCTCATTTCCAAAGAGAGTTCTGCATTTCCTAAGTAATATTTTATGTTACAAATGTACCACCTTTCATCTTTCCATGAAGTTTTATCCTTTATTTGATGAATGCTTTTCTTACTTCTGTATAGAGTCTTGGATGAATTTTCCACATATTAGACCCAAGTCAACTTTAATTTGACATACCACTCATAAATTAACTAAATTTTCTTTCTCCTCCCATGTATCACCGCTGTCTTGGATTTTTTGCCTCTCTGAGCAGTTTGCTCTCTTTTGGGGGCCATTATTCACAAGAAAGAAGTATCTACTTGCCAGTACATTCTTACTGTGAGGGCAGCTGAATTAAGATGTAAATCGTAAGGAGTCAGTTGGGCCTACTTACAAGCTAAATGATTCTTGCTTTATATCAGCCTCTTGGATTACAAAAATTACAGGTTTTTGACTCCGCAAAATTATGAGATTGCTACATGCCATAGGCCTTTACATTTCCTCACATTTAGGCAGCGCAGAGCATATTCAATTCATAAATGCCTGTGGTTTATTCTCTTGACAATGACTAGTAGTCTTTGCCATATAGCTTATGTTCCAGTAATAGAGATTAACATGTTATGTATTATAGAGACAAGAACCCTACAAAACAGATGAAGGAAATTAACCATAATGGCAGATGATAAATACTTATTTGATTTTCTTTTGTCTTACTAATAAGATATATCAGATTCCAAATATTTATTGTACAGTTACATAAAAGAGTTGAACTTTGGAGACTATAATTAACAGAGATCAGTTGTCCCACTTCTCTCTCTCTTCCTCCTTTTTTTATTAGTTAGGCTTGAATATTTAAAATTTATATCAAAATCCTTTTTAAAATTTTTTTAACGTTTATTTATTTTTGAGAGAGAAAGAGAGAGCAGTGGGGGAGGGGCAGAGGGAGAGGGAGACACAGAATCTGAAGCAGGCTCTAGGCTCTGAGCTGTCAGCACAGAGCCCGACATGAGGCTAGAACCTCTGAACCGTAATATTGTGACCTGAGCCAAAGTCAGGTGCTTAACTGACTGAGCCACCCAAGCATCCCTGCAATTCTTTTATAAACAAGATTTTAAAAATGCATAGAAAATATCTTAAATTATTGTAATCATTGGTTTCAAGGCAAGTTAATCTATTTTGTCAATAGTGATTTAATCTTTATTCTCCAGCTGTTTGAAATAGCAGATTAAAAAATATGTGTTGAGAAGTAACAAGTCATTGTGGATTCTTTATCCTTAGCATGTTTGAATTGCTTTTTGCCAAATAGGTTTTTAATAAACTTTGAATACGTCTGTGAAAGGACTTTGAAACATGAATTTTTAAATGAAACTTTGAAAAATAGTTATTTTGCATTTATAGGGTATCCTTTCTCTTAGCCTGATTCAATGGAACCATTCACAAGTAACTTGAAAAAAGCAGTTTGAATGACAAACATGAATATAGGATTAGTACTGTAATAACTGAGAAATGAGCCTGCTTTTTTATTTTTTTCTGTCAGTTCCTAAAGCTCCAGAGATAGATCCTGTAGAGTGTTTGGTGGCTGACAATTCTGTAACAGTGGCTTGGAGAATGCCAGAAGAAGATAATAAAATTGATCATTTTATCCTGGAATATCGGAAAACTAATTTTGACGGACTTCCACGTGTAAAGGATGAGCGATGCTGGGAGATAATTGATAATATTAAGAGTACTGAATATACACTATCAGGTATATGACTGCATTTCATGAATTTCATTCTCAGAAAGTAAATGTAATTGTGAAAAATATTTTGAGATACTTTAAATATTTTTTAAAAGTTTTATTTATCTTTTTGAGAGAGCAGGAGAGCACTCATGAGCTCACAAGATAGGTGCAGAGGGAATCCCAAGCAGGCCCCATGCTGTTAGCAGAGAGCCTGATGCGGGGCTCAAACACACAAACCTGAGATGGAATCAAGGTTAGGATGCTACCCAGGTGCCCCTAGAGTTACTTTAAAAGATAAAATTAAGTTTCTTAGCCAAGGTTTTTCTATATTCATTATAGAAGTGAATTTCTCTTAAAATATTAAGAAAACTTTCAGATTTTAGTTACTTCCTGATACTTGCATTTTGATAAAATAATGTATGTAAAACAAACATGAAGGAGTGTTCTGGAAACTATTTCAGAATAACATTAATTTTAACCTTGGTTTTTTAACAATAAAAAAGCTGTCAGTTTTTTAGGTGTATACACTACCCCTGCATTTCAATGGTTCTGTAAATACTGTTGCTTTTACCTTTTTATGATTATCTTTACAGTAATACTTATAAAGCTGTGACTTGGTATTAGAAATTTGTGTGTTAGCCTTTTCTTTCAAAAGTTGCCTCTTTGTATAGGGGACTTTGGGTATTTGAATCGCCAGATATTTCTGGAGTTGTTCAACACTTTCTATGCCATAGCAGTAACATAACCATTATTGAGCACTTACCATTTGTCAGGAGATGGGCTGAAGTGTGTTACACAGTACATCTCATTTAATCAGTATAGTACATCCATTTAATCTTTATAGTTATGAGGTTGGTTTTATCATTTTTATTTTACAGATACAAAAACTTATTCTGTCAACTTAGTTGTTGATGGTCCCTTGGCTAGTAATTTTTGAACTGAGATTTTAAAGATTTTATTATTTTTTAAAAGTAATCTCTACACCCAGTGTGGGGCTTGAATTTAGAACCCCAAGAACCAGAGTCACATGCTCTGCTGATTGAGCCAGCCAGGCACCCTGTGGATTGAGATTTTAATCTAGACTTGACTAACTTCAGAGTTTTACTGTTAATCCCTATGCTTTACTTTCTCTTTAAATTCATTTTCTCTTTAAAATACTTTAGGCTGTCTTCTTTCCAGAAATTGAATGTTATTTTAAATTGTAGGGGTGCCTGGGTGGCTCAGTGGGGGTTAAGTGTCCGACTTCCACTCACATCATGATCTCACAGTTCGTAAGTTTGAGCTCCACGTCTGGCTCTGTGCTGATCACTCAGAGCCTGGAGCCTGCTTCAGATTCTTTGTCTCCCTCTCTCTCGGCCCCTCCCCCGCTTATGCTCTGTTGCTCTCAAAAAGAAATAAAACATTTTTAAAAATTAAAAAAATAAATTATAGCATTTCTCATTGAATGAAACATTACTTTTAACTTGAGAGTACTTTTTTATCACTAGATTAAAAAAACACATTGATTAAACTATTATTTATTTCTTTTGAAGCAAGTAAGAAATAAATCATGATTCCTCTTGGCATTACCACTGTTTTAACATAAATTTATATTCTTCTGGAGTAAAGAGACAGTTCTAAAGAGGGAATATGTCTGTTTGAAGGTTCATACTCCTACTTTGGGAGTAGATCCCTTTAATTTTCATATCTGAAAAATATTTTCAATTTTTTCAGGCTTAAAGTTTGATTCAAAGTATATGAATTTCAGAGTACGAGCTTGTAACAAAGCTGTAGCTGGAGAGTATTCTGATCCAGTGACTCTAGAGACCAAAGGTAAGATTGTAGAGACCAAAGGTAAGATTGTAGATATTTACACAGCATAAAACAAAACTTAACATCTGACGTTATTCAAGACTGTGACAGGAAACATTTCATGTATGGTAGCATTTCTTCCCCATGGTGCATGTGTGCACATACATACTTGGAATTCTCAGTAGTAGGAATTTTAAGATGGGGAAATTAGGACTATACTATTAGTTTCCACTAGTTCTTCTTTTATGATGGTATTCAAATGGGTAAAGTAGACTGAGATGATGGCATTGTGTTCTGTGGTGAGGCGCTTTATAAACTGCAGTCTAGTATAAATACATAGGCATCAATGAGATTTGCCCACAGATTTCTCAGGGAATGGATTATGGCTCAATAATGGGGAAGTACCATTTCAGTTTAGTTCAGGTACTCTCTGTTTTCTTAAACTTTATTGTAGAAAATAACATTTGTATGTTTTATTAATGTGTACAAAGCACTCTCACACTTCTCTGTTTGATCATTAAAACCATCTTAGGAGACCAGTAGTTTAAATATTACTGATACCCATTTTGCAGATGAAGAAAGTTTACATATGTTAAATGACTTGCCCACAATCCCTACAACTAACTTGGAAAGATGTAAAGAATTCTGTGCCAGCCCTTATTGTGGGGCTGGAACTAATTTGGATTTAGTTAAAACTCTCTAGAATAACATATTTCAACATGGAAGATTTTTGAAGTGTTTACCATTTGGAAGGCCATAATGCTAGAGATCTTGTTAGTTGTGAGATGATAATTGACTAGATTTACCTCAAGAAACCGATTCTACACACTGTTGAGGTACTTGGGCCTTCAAGTGTTCCACTGACCTTTAGTTCATATAGCATTTGAATAGGTTTGCATGCCAGAGTTTGATACGATTTCAAAGTGATATGAAAATATTATATCAGAATAAAACAAAATATGAGGCCTGTAAGTTATTATACAGGACAAATTCAAAAGAAAGTGTTTGCATCACAAAGGTAAAAAAAACTCCCTAAACTGAGTAATTTTTTTTTGGATTAGAAAATGTTTTTATTGGATAATTATAGATAACTTAGCCAAGAAATGGTTACTTTGAATTATTTGTTACTAAGTGAGATGTGACTGTGATTTCTTTAGAGATTTGAACCATTTTGAAGTATAGTTATAGGTACATTATCTTTTATATTTTATACACAACTTGAACTGTTTGAGCCCTTGTCAGGTAAAACTGCATTATTACTATTATTCTCCCTCAGGAGTATTGTATCTTTTTATTTCTTTTGTTCCTTCTCCTTTACCCTTTATATTTAGTCACCAGACTTGGACCTGTACATTTCTATGCAAAGTCTACAGATTCAGGAGAATGAATAGCTGGCTTTAAGTTTCCTTGGAGCTGGGCTGGCTGGTCCAGTTGGCAGTGTCTGGATCTTAGCAGTCAAATTCTTGGTCTTAGTGTTTGTAGAGTTGATTTTAGTCTTTTCAGGAGTTCTCACTGTGGGGTAAACCCCCTGGGGTGGGGACCCCACTCAACCCTGAGGCCCTCTAAACATTTAATTCTGACCTTCAGGGAGACCCAGAATACAATTAGTCTCTTAAATGGCGACAGGTCACAGCTTCTCCAAGGGCTGTTCCATCCCCCTGGAGAGGTAACTAATGAGGCAAGAGCTCCAGAGGAAAAGTGCAGATCTTAAAAAATGACATGTTGAACAATTGCTTACTAATTTTTTTTTTTTTTTTTTTGGCTTGCTGTAATGCTTTTTGACCAACCGTCGAAATACAGGTATGGAACAGAGAACTGGAGGAAAAGGGAGAGAGATGGAAATTAAATAGTTGAAGCCTACCAGAATTTGATATCTTGCCTCTTTAATGGTGCTTGATATGGGAAATAGTGAACATTATTAATTTCTGTCTCTAATGTATGTAGCACTGTTCCTTGCCATTGGAATTGTCATATGATGAGTAATCTAAGTTCTTATTAACAGGATTTTTATGTGGTTTATCCCTTCTTTGTAAAGGTAAATGATAAGATACTAATCACAAATTACTCTCTAGTTTCAAATGATAGTGGCTATGATATAATTTTAGAGTACCAAGAAAGCAGCCACCAATACAAATACATGAAACATAATGGTACTTTGGTTTTTTGGTACTTTGGTTTCTCAAACATTTAAAGATACGGAAACTAATTCCTAGTTCTATTATAGAGATGATATGAGAGGCAGCACTGATGTTTAAGACCTCACTTTTGAGGACTGATATTTTTTGCTTTTAAACTACACAGTATCCCTGTTAGCTTAGAGAGGCTCTATGACTTCGTTGAGGTCCCAGAAAGGGTATAGTGTCCAAAACAAAACAAAACAAAACAAAACATAAAAGGGAGAGAGAGATTAAAGATTGTACCCCTGGGATAGAAGCTCATGCCTATCTGTCTGCATGCTGTGTGGTATTTAGTAAGCCTAGTCTTAGGTGGCTTGGAGGGGACACCTTTTCTTGCTACTCATGACCCCACCTTTCTTCATCATATTAAACATTAGGGAACAGCCTTAGGATTTTTTTCTTGTTTTTCTTTTTTAACAGCCTTAGGATTTTAACAAGTAGCTGAGAATTGATGTCACCTTAGAGTTATAATTTACTTTTTCTTTCTGTCCAGAGTAGGTACCCTCACATGTATTACCTAATAGCTAATATAGAGGTTAATTAACCCTGTTTTATCAAATTGAATTTTTTTTTTTTTTTTTGGTTAGTATTCCCTACACACAACATGAGGTTTAAACTATCATGACCCCCAAGATCGAGCCTCATGCTCTTCTCACAGAACCAGTCTGGTGCCCCAACCCTTTTTTTTTTTTTTTTTTTAGTTTATTTATTTTGAGAGAGTACATTGAACATGTGGAGGAGGGGCAGAGAGAGAGAGAGAGAGAGAGAGAGAGAAAGAGAATTCCAAGCAGGCTCTGCACAGTCAGCATGGAGCCCAATGTGGCCATGAGATCATAATGTGAGCTGAAATCAGGAGTCAGATGCTTAACTAACTGAGGAACCCAGACTCCACAGCCCAACCTTGTTTTCGTGAGGCATTTCATTCTTGGTATAGGATCTCAAGTTTGCTTAATCCTAACTTTTTAGTAACTTACCTATGAGGTAACTATTAGGTTCTTTTTTAGTAACCTGCTTGTTAAGGAATTTTGTATTAATTTTTACTGAAAGACTATTTATTTCTGTAAGTTCGTTTCTGTTTACATGAAAATTTTGAAAAGCTAATAACTTATATAGTATGACATACTAGAAGCAGTATGGTCAGTAAATTTGTATTTACAATGTTATTTTATAAATAAAGACAATGAACAATGGGTCAGATGCATAGCTGAAAATGAAGTACACTTTACAGAACAGTGAAGGAAAAAAATTTAATTTACAAGGTAACATTAGGCTCTTTATATGAATACTTTGTTATTTGATGATGCATATTTACACAGACACATTGAAGCTTTGGCTAAATCAAGTAATATCCTTAAGTGGAATGGGGTTGTAAAGGAAATATCCACTTCAGTGAGTAATTACCAGAAATTTGAACTTCTAAAAATAAAAAAAATTTTTTTTACACTTCTTTATTTTTGAGAGACAGAGTGAGACACAGTGTGAGCGGGGGAGGGGCAGAGAGAGAAGGAGACACAGAATCCGAAACAGGCTCCAGGCTCTGAGCAAGCGTTCAGCACAGACCCCAATGTGGGGCTCGAACCCACAAACTGTGAGATCATGATCCGAGCCGAAGTCGGACACTTAACTGACTGAGCCATCTAGGTGCCCCAAGAAATTTAACTTTTGAAGGAAAATAGAACTCAGAGAAGCAGATTATTTGGTAACTATGTAGTAGATGATACCTTGCTTAAGGCAGGGATTCTAGGAATTGTATTTTAGAATATGAGGAGTTCTGCATTACTCAGCTTAATCCATACATTTTAATGATTTACCATCTATTTCCAAAGAGAGAAGGTAATACCTTGTTACACTGATCTACTAAACTAGCAATTCTGAGTAAGTTTTCTGAGTAGGATAGGTAGTTCCCCAAAATACCAAATAGTTTGCAAAACATAGTTTTGTTTCATTTTTTAAAATTATTTTTTAAATTTGAGTACAGTTGGCACAATGTTACATGAGTTTCATGGGTACAACATAGTGATTCAACTTCTCTGTGGTTCCCCCAAGTATAGCTACTATCTGTCACCATATAATGCTTTTCCAGTCCAAGTGACTACATTCCTTATGCTGTTCCTTTTTCCCCCCATGACTGTTTTCGTGTATTTTGATTTGTATTCATTTAAGTAGTCTTTTCCCCATCTCTTTGCCATGTAAGTCATCTCTGGCTCTGTCACCTGGGTTGATTTCCTTGCTTCTGTGCCTGTTTCTCTGTGCCTTTTTTTTTTTTTTAATGTTTATTTATTTTCTAGAAAGAGAGAGAGGGAGAGAGTGGAAATCGGGGAGGGGCAGAGAGAGAAGGAGATACAGAATCTGAAGCAGGCCCCAGGCTCTGAGCTGTCACCTCAAACCTCATGAACCCATGAGATCTTGACCTGAGCTGAGGCAGACGCTTAACCAACTGAGCCACCCAGGCACCCCGCTCTGTGCTTTTTAATTCAAAACTACTGAGAGTTTAAATATGAAACTATTGAGTGTTAGAGCATCAGAGAAAATGTATTTGTGCCAAGCTGTATAATTTTTTACACATCACTTTTTCTTCATCCTCAATTCTACCAACTGCTCTTCCTATTTAGTCATAACAGTCAACTGATAATCAACTGATACTTTGATAACAGAAAGTTGAGATTATTATGTGCTGATGGAGATTCTAGCAGAAGGAATAGCAGAAACACCAGAGGCCATACAAGTACATTGAATTTGGTTCGAGTTATAGGATATATAGAGAACGATGATGGGAAGTAAAAGAGGAGTTAGTAAATTACAGCCTTATCTTTGGGGACTTTAAATGTCAGCTAGCATTAGGAGTTTGAACTTTATTCTCTATCTACAGTGTTGAATAAACTAAGGAAAATAATGTGATGATAGTTGTGCTTCAGAACGTGAAGATGTTCTATATTTTTAAAAAATTGAAATTTTTTTTGGATAGCACTAAACTTCAATTTGGATAACTCATCATCCCATTTGAACCTGAGAGTTGAAGATACCTGTGTAGAGTGGGATCCTACAGGAGGAAAAGGCCAAGAAAGTAAAATGAAAGGAAAAGAGAATAAGGGCAGGTAAGCTAGGTTTTTAATGTTATGTGGGCTCATACTTGTACATTGATTCTTACTTGATAATAACTTATGATGAAATTCTTATTCTGTATATCAGTATAATTTGTGATATGTTAGTAACATCAAAGTGAAGAATATAATACTGTTTATTGATACTTGAATTTGGTATAACATTTTTTCATTACTTTCTTCTCTAATTTTCTTTTAACACATTTTATTTCAGTATTCCGTTTCCTTTAAGTTGTGTCTACATAACTTGAACTGCTTAAGAGAGAAGTCCCTGAATTTTAGACTTATAGGTCACCTGTGTTACATGAAGGTCTGCATTAAATGACAACTTTTAGCATGTACAACCCCATTGTCTTGCTCCTGATTAGCAATCTATAAACCAAAGACGAAGGCTTGGGACTTTTTGTTGTCAGTCTTATTTAGACAGTCTCAAAATATGCCTTTTTAAACAGAGGAAAATTTTGCTTAAACTGAAATAAAGTAATATCACTGGAAGTTACAACAGTGAATCAAAAAAATTTTTCTCAGCAGGCTTTTGATCTAATTTTAAATTTAAGTTGTAAAGCAGTCTCTTAACAGTTGCCTGTTTTTATCTAACAGTGTCCATGTTACTTCACTGAAGAAACATACAAGGTGATGATCTATGTGTGTCTGGTTCTAGGACTTAGTATATCTAGCTTGGCTGAATAATTTTTTCTTTTAACCAATAAACAGAAGCCTTTGCAGCAGCCTTCATAGATAAAGTACTGCTCTGTGTAGATTGTCTGTATTGGTAGCTTATGTTTTGAATTTACAGCACTGTAGTATGCTGCACACTGTTTGGATTATACTGTATATGGTAACAAAACAATAAGCTCTGCTTTTAAAGTCTTTCTTGAGTTATTTTCCCTCATCTGATTTTTCCTGCATTTACTTATACCTGGCATCTTTCTTGTGCTATATTCAGTACATCTAACATTACAGCTTTGCTTTTATTTGTATTTGACACAAGGCAGGTTTGAAGTGTTCTATGTTGTATAGTAATTATGTAGTTTCAAAAGCATTGAGGATAAGAAATAAAGGTCATTACTGAAGTTATAAAGACAATGCCCAGAAAGATGAATCAGTTCAAACTGCATGGTTAATAATGTACTAATTTGAAGATACCACATATCTTTTTTTCTCTTTTTTTTCTTTCATAGTTTATTGTCAAGTTGGATTCCATATAACACCCAGTGCTCATTCCAACAAGTGCTCTCCTCCATGCCTCTAACCGCCCTTCCCTTCCCCCCCCATCAGCCCTCAGTTTGTTCTCAGTATTCAAGAGTCTCTCATGGTTTGCCTTCCTCCCTCTCCCCAACTATTTTCCCCCTTCTCCTGCCCCATGATCCTCCATTAAGTTTCTCCTAATCCTCCTATACGTGCAAACATATGGTATCTGTCCTTCTCTGCCTGACTTATTTTGCTCAGCATAGCACCCTCAGGTTCCATCCATGCTGCTACAAATGGCCAGTTTCATTCTTTCTCATTGCCGTGTAGTATTCCATTTTATAGATAAACCACATCTTCTTGATCCATTCGTCCGTTGATGGACACTTAGGCTCTTTCCATGATTTGGCTACTGTTGAGAGTGCTGCTATGAACATTGGGGTACATGTGCTCCTATGCATCAGCACTCCTGTATCCCTTGGGTAAATTCCTAGCAGTGCTATTGCTGGGTCATAGGGGAATTCTAGTGTTAATTTTTTGAGGAACCTCCACACTGTTTNTGTAGTATTCCATCGTATATATAAGTCACATCTTCTTGATCCATTCCTCCGTTGATGTACATTTAGGCTCTTTCCATGATTTGGCTACTGTTGAGAGTGCTGCTATGAACATTGGGGTACATGTGCTCCTATGCATCAGCACTCCTGTATCCCTTGGGTAAATTCCTAGCAGTGCTATTGCTGGGTCATAGGGGAATTCTAGTGTTAATTTTTTGAGGAACCTCCACACTGTTTTCCAGACGGGCTGCACCAGTTTACATTCCCACCAACAGTGTAGGAGGGTGCTTTTCTCCATATCCTCACCAGTATCTAGAGTCTCCTGATTTGTTCATTTTAGCCACTCTGACCAGCGTGAGGTAGTAGAAGATACCACATATCTTTATCAGAAACCAGAATGTGTTCCCTTTTCAAAATTATCTTCTTTTATTTTTTCTAGTTTATTTGTTCATTATTAATGAAAGTAACTTCAGAGTTGGGATATTATAAATTGTAGAATGTTGCTGGATTTAATAGAGGGTATGAAGTTTCATTTGGTTCCTTGGAGATTTTTAGAGTGTTTGTATTTAGCAGTTCAGATCATATTACTTCTCTTTCTCCTCTCCTTTTTTTTCCTCCTCTCCTTTAAAGGGTATTTTACATGTGGAGTACATCTGGAATGTTAGGCACATTTATTCTTTCCATAAATATTTATTCACTGTAAGATGTTGCAGTGTGGATGTTAGTTGGATGTGGTGGGGTTTGCAGGGGTGAACACTGTTCCTGTCTTTAAGAAATTTGCCCTAACTTTTGTATATGAGATATCTATGTATATATAAATAACAGTAATACAAGGTAGAGATTGTCTGTAATGGTAAGTGTGATGAAAGGAGTTTGAGAAGAAAGATGTCCTGAGCTCCCATTTGTTAAAGTGGTCAATTAGACACTGAGCCAAACTGAAAGTAACAATCAAGCCTTTATTCACTTACTATGACAGTATAAGCAAGAGGCCACAAAGGAAAGGGAGCTAGCTCTCCTCAGTGTTCTGTTTTTCCCAGCAGAATAGCACTGGTAAGGGTCAGGTAAATCAAAGCAGTTTGCAGATGGTAGTTACTGGAAGATCATCTCACTGCCAAGAGAGCCCTAAACAGAATGCTCTTCCTGTTGTTTTATGGACCTGCAGCCAAGAAGGAAGGAGAAGAGGAAAGGTTAGATGTGGAAAAGTATTGAGATTGAATGGAGAGAAGTGTCTTCAGACTACACCACCTCACACCACCCCTTTAAGGTGGTCCACTCAGAAGCAGCGGAAAAAGTCTCAGCTGAAGATCCCCTCTCCCATAAGGGGGTTTCTGAATAGAGGTGCCTAAGCTAGGAATGCAGATATGCATAGGAGCACTGGGTTGGGGTGGGGGAGAATTGCATCTTCCTTCAGAAACTGGTGAACTAACTATGTACCAAGTCTGGTTGGGAAAGGCAGCCCTCTCAGGCCTGTCACTTAAAGCCTTTTATAATTATGGTTCAGCCTGAAAGATTACACATAGGATTTTGGCCTGGAGGCGGATTCCTCAGGAGAGTTATTTAGCCTGGTAAGATCTGGAAGATCTTCATTAATGGAATAGTATTCAGGCTGGTTCTCAAGGAAGTGGAAGAACACGTGCCATTTGGGCTTGCATAAACTAGAGGAAAGGCACTGAAGCAGGTTGCCTGAGTTTAAGGAACACACTGCTGCGTTTAGCTAAATAGTGCTTTCTAGGGGTGAGAAGGCTAGAAAAGCAGACTGGGACCAAATCAAGAAGCACCTGAAACTCAAAGCTAAGTTGTTTGCAGGCAGTAAGGAAGTACTTGAAGATTTTAAGGTAGCAGTATCAGACTTAGGTTTATGTGGTAACAATGAACAAGATGAATTAGGTGGCAAAGAGATCATTTCAGAAGCTAGTAAAAAAATAATCTAGAGTGCAGGTAAACAAAGAGCCTTGATTTACACAGTGGAGCTGCGTAGGTGTCTATAAAGGGATAAGGTGGGAGGGATCGTGTTTGGCATCGGACAGTAATAGCTGTTGTATTTCTTGCAGAAATGTACTTAGGGTTGACAGTCTAGAATGCTGCAATGGAAGAGTTCTCCTTATTTAACTTTCCTCTGAAATTTAAACTGCCACTCTTAATAGTTATGCCTGTTTGTCTTTTCTCCATGCTTTTCCCTTTATTTCTTTACTACTGGTAAGTTACAGTTTGTTTTCTTTTCTGTGTTTTAAATGCAGGGATTCAATATAATTGAAATGTTATTTTTAAACATCTTTGGGTCTTGATTTGAGTTTTTGAGGTGTAATGAAAGGCCTCGTACTGTCTCATTTATCATATCCTATAAATTGATATAAGGGGAGATCAGGTTGAATCTTGTAGGAGAAATGCTTTATAATACTTGATATTATCCTGTGCATGGATTTGGGTGGGTATTTACTATTTCTCTTTTTAAGAAGAAAAGATCCAGAACAGAAATACTTTGTGCTTATGAAAAGGTTATTTAGTTTTTATTATAATAAGCCTATTTCTGCCATTTTAAAATTTAAATTTAGCTGCAAGAAATATAAGGTCTATAATCCATTATTTTTTTTGAGTGTTTTTTTCCCCTCAGTTCGTTTTCCTTTTAACTTGTCTCATTTTGGCATTGTTTCTTATTTCAACTGTGTGTTCTTTGTATAGGCTTTGTTCTGTCTGCATGATATTAGTGTTCAGCCTGCTTTGTGTTGATGACTTCTTATATTTCAGTGTTTTTAATTGACAGCTCTGTTTAATAATAATTCAAATAAAATTAAATGGTGCTATTTGTCCAGCGTAATTAAAACTTTTCAGTTTCATGATTTATAATTTTAGTTTGTGAGACATTTACAGCATAGAATATTTGTTTTTCTTTTTTTCCTGTTTATATAGAAGCGGCACACCATCCCCCAAACGGACATCCATAGGCTCCAGGCCACCAACAGTAAGAGGCAGCAGAGATCGTTTCACTGGGGAGTCATACACAGTGCTGGGTACGATAAACATAATCTTCATTGTGTCAGATTAAAGGCATCACAGTCACACTGCTGGGCTTTCTACCCACTTAGAGCTGGAGTGGCCTGTTTTGAATGAATATTTGCCAGAGTTTCACCGTCTTGAAGCCTAATTACTTTTGGCGGGTTTCAAATTGTCTATTGATTTAAAACTTTATTTCATTTTACATAGTGCTCTGTGTATATGTGTATCTTTTGAAGAGATAGGAAGAAAAGTTCTAAAGCTTTTTATAAATCAGAAAAAATAACAGTAAATATACAAGTAAAGTTATAACAAATACTTGGCTTATAGTGTCTGTGTGTTAATATGGTTATTTTCCTGAATCAGATTTTTTTGTGCCATTTTGTGGGATGAGAGGTAAAAATCTATGTGACTTGTAAGGAAAAAGTAAGAGTCAAATTTACCTTTCTTATCTTTTGTAGGAGACACTGCTATTGAAAGTGGACAACATTATTGGGAGGTCAAGGCCCAGAAGGATTGTAAATCCTACAGTGTGGGAGTAGCGTATAAGACTCTGGGGAAATTTGACCAATTAGGAAAGACCAACACTAGTTGGTGTATCCATGTCAACAACTGGCTGCAAAACACATTTGCAGCAAAGCATAATAATAAAGTCAAAGCCTTGGATGTTACTGTTCCTGAGAGAATAGGTGTATTTTGTGATTTTGATGGGGGTAAGTTTACTGATTTTCTCATAAGTCATTTTGTCATTGTTGCTTATATTTCAGTACTTTTCATTGGTAATCGTCTACACAGAGTTTTTATTAATATTTTTGTTAAAGGTGTTTTGACCTACTAGGATTTTATCACAAATGTAATTTCAGATCTGGAATTGACTGGACGGGTGCGTGATGTTTGCTTGAAGCCTTAAAAAAGCACTCGTCTATAATATGCTTAATAGGTCTGAAAGAATGATTTTGTTAATTTTAGTCTTAAGCATTAAAATTTTTTCTGTCCATTTTTATTCCTTTCTGACCTGATTTTATTACCTGTAAAGAAAGAGTAGTGAAGTCAGATTTTTCAAGTTAGAGCAGACCTTAGAAATACCCAACCCACCTGCCACACAGTTTAAAATCCTTATTACTGTTATCTCTGCAGGTGGTTGTCACTCCTGTGCTTGAAGAACTTTTTAATGTGAAGTTTATTGTTGCAGAAGATAGCTTATTTCATTGTTGGGTAGCACTTGGTAATAGAAAGTTTTTCTTAAATTGACTTGTTTTGTTTCTTGATACCTTTTTAAAATTTTTTTAAATGTTTTTTACTTATTTATGAGAGAGAGAGAGAGAGATAGCATGAGCAGAGGAGGGTCAGAGAGAGAGGGAGACACAGAATCTGAAGCAGCCTCCAGGCTCTGAGCTAGCTGTCAGCACAGAGCCCAACGCAGGGCTCGAACCCACGAACCATGAGATCATGACCTGAGCCGAAGTTGGATGCTTAACCGACTGAGCCACCCAGGCGCACCTCTCCTGATACCTTCTGAGACTGCTATACTTAAATATTGTCATCTGAAGAAACACAGAATTATGGTCCCTAATTCACATTTACATGATAATCCTTATTTGCTTAAAAACTACTAACATTGCTTTTTGTGCTGGTTTTCCAGACTATGCATTCTCTGTATCACTGGCCGTTCCTCTTACAGTTTAATTTTTCCAAAATTAAAGTATGGAGTTGTAAACTATGTCAACATTATCGCTTAAAGACTGGTTCTCAAAGTAGAACATGAAACTGCAGACAATTATAGGACATGTATGTAATTTGGCAACAGTTTATAGTACTATGACTTATTAGCGTTGTTGGTGTATATTGAACTTGTAACCACCCAGTCCACTAGATCTTTTTTCATGGAATTCTATCACATTGTCTTCCCCACCCCCCACCCCCATATATTGGGCAGTTTAGGATTGTTTTTTGTTGTTTAAACTCAAGAATATTACATTTGTCCTTAAGTTTCATTTTTTGTTCTTGTTTCAATTTTTTATTTAAATTCCAATTAACATAGAGTGTACTATTGGTTTTGGGAGTAGAATTTAGTGATTCATCATTGACATATAGCACCCAGTGCTTATCCCAACAAGTGCCCTCCTTAATGCCCATCACCCATTTAGCTCATCTCCCATCTCCCTCCCTCCATCAACCCTAAATTTGTTCTCTATAGTTAAGAGTCTCTTATGGTTTCATCTTAATAGATTTGGCCAAGTTTTTTTAACATTTCTGTTAAAATCATCTATAAAGTAGCTTAATATTTATCCTTTGCAAAATTTGCTTAAGCTTTTTGAATTAGGTATTTGATAAGTACCTTCTCTACTGTCATCAAAATACTTATAAATTTTTGAAGATGACCCTGTTGAACTAGGGAACAAAATTAAGTCTATAGTTGATAAAAGAGTCTATAGTTGAATAAGTACAATAATGCAGGATTATGGAGGCACTATAGAGATCTTGAAAAATCAGGAAAGAAAACTAGATTTGGGCCTTTTCTTTCAGAATGTGTACTACTGATATTCAAGTGAGAATTTCTAAGTCCAGTCCTTATAGTTTGTAACCAAAAAAAGTCCCAAAATCTGTATTTAGTTATTACTTTACCCATGATGATGTGTTAGATTTAATTAAATGTTTTTGTATAATAAATTAGGCTTTTTCTTCCCTTTTAGGTCAACTTTCTTTCTATGATGCAAGCTCAAAACAGTTGTTGTATACCTTTAAGACAAAATTTACGCAGCCAGTACTACCTGGTTTCATGGTTAGTACCAAATTTATATTTTACTTGGTTAAGCAACTTTATTGAGAACAATCTGTGCTCTTTATATTTGGGGAAACTGAATATCTTATTTTTTCTTCATATTCTTTCCTCTTTCCCTAATCTACCTCTCCCAAATCTGTGATTGTGTGTATATTTTTGGTATATTTTAGTGAAGTAAATATTATTACATAAAAGTATGCAAACCTTAAGAATGCAGTTTGATGAATCTTCATAGTACTGCACACATTTTTGTAATCAGTATCTAGATCAAGAAGTGGAACCTTAATGGGGCACCTGGGTGGCTCAGTCAATTAAGTGTCTGACTTTGGCTCAGGTCATGATCTCATGGATTGTGAGTTCGAGACCCTCCTCAGGCTCTGTGGTGACAACTCAGAGCCTGGAGCCTGTTTTGGATTCTGTGTTTCCCTCTCTCTTTTGGCCCCTCACCCTGCTCACACTCTGTCTCTGTCTCTCTCAAAACTAAATAAACATTAAAAAAAAAAAGAAGGAGCAGAAGCAGAACCTTAACAGAGCCTCATATACCTCTTTGTGCCCATTTATAGCCTCTACTGGCCCACCTGCAAAATGGTTACCATCTTGAGTTTTAATACCATTAATTCATTTTGCCTCCCTTTCAACTTTGTATACAGTATCTTTTTGGTTTAGCACTGTGTTTGTGGGATTTATTCATGCTGTTCAATGTGGTAGTACTTCACTCATTCTCATATAGTTTTATATTTATATGTATAGTTTTCCATTATATGACTATTTCATCATTTATATATCCATTCTAATTTAGTTGGATTCTTGCGTGGTTTCCCCTTAGGGACATTTACAACTAGAATAGTTATGAATATTCTTGTTTGTGCCTTTTGGCAAATTATGTATATATTTCCATTGGGTATATAACTAAGGCTGGAGTTGCTGGATAGTATGGTGTATGTGTAATCAACTCTAGTAGGGGCAGGGTTTTTCAAAGTTGTTGGTTATACTATTTTATTGCTAGCAGTATATCTTTATCAACACTTGGTAGTATCTTTTTTAAGTTTTAGTTCTTCTAGTGGGTATGATATATTGAATTGTGGATTTTCATGCTGTTGAACCTTTTTTTTTTTTGTTTATTGGCAATTTAGGTACACTCTTGTGAAATAGTTGCTCAAGTCTTTTGCCTGTATTTCTATTGTGTCTTCTTCCTACTTCTTACTGATTGATTTGGAGTTCTTTAAGTAGCGTGACTCTTTTGCCAGATACATGTATTGCAAATTTCTTTTTTACTCTGGCTTTCCTTTTCCCTCTTGGTATTTTCGCATGAAAAAAAGGTTGTTAATTTTAATGTTGCTCAATTTATCAATTTAAAAATTTATGGTTAGCACTTTTTGTGTTTTAAGAAATCTTTTTTCACCTCCAAAGTCATGAAAATATTCTTGTTTTCTTCTAAAAGCTTTTCCTTGTACTTTTAGATATAGACTGCATTTACAATGGAAGTACAATGTAGAATTGCTGTTTGGTATGATGTTGGGTTCAACTTAAATAGCTATCCACTTATTCCATGACCATTTATAGAGAAGATCGTCTTTTTTTCTGTTGCAGTGCAGTGTTGTCTTTATAAAATATTAGATTAACAGTCTTTGTGTGGTAGGCAAAATATATGTGTCTGTACACACATATATAATTTCAGGACTACTCAATTTCAGGTTTATTTATTTTAAAAACTTTTTTGCTTGTATTTAAATCCAACTTAGTTAACATAACAAACAATATGGTTTCAGGAGTAGAAGGTAATGATCCATCGTTTACATAAAAAACCCCAGTGCTCATCCTAACGTGCCCTCCTTGATGCCCATCACCCATTTAGTCCATCCCCCCACCCAGTACCCCTTGAGCAACCCTCAGTTTGTTCTTTGTATTTAAGTGTCTCTTATGGTGTGCCTCCCTCTATCTTCTTTTTCTGTCCCTTTCCCTTTGTTCATCTGTTTCTTAAACTTCCACATATGAATGAAATCACGATATTTGTCTTTCTCTGAGTGACTTATTTCGCTTAGCAGAATACATTCTAGTTCAATCCATGTTGTTGCAAGTGGCAAGATTTCATTCTTTTTGATCACTGAGTAATATATACCATTCTGTGTATAAATACCACATCTTCTTTATCCATTCATCAATTGATGGATATTTGGGCTCTTTCCATAATTTGGCTATTGTCGATAGTGCTGCTATAACATTGGGGTTCATGTGCCCCTTTGAATCAGTATTTTTGTATCCTTTGGATAAATACCTAATAGTGCAATTGCTGGGTCATAGGGTAGTTCTATTTTTAATTTTCTGAGTAACTTCCATACAGTTTTCCAGAGTGGCTACCCTAGTTTGCATTCCTACTAGCAGTGCAAAAGAGTTCACCTTTCTCTGCATCCTCACTAACTTTGTGTTGTTTCCTGAGTTGTTAATTTTAGCTATTCTGACAAGTGTGAGGTGATAATCTCATAATCTCTTATGTCTCAGAGGGTTGGATATCATGTTAAATTTGAGTTTATCTCAAGTAGATAAGTAGTGAGCTTATTGATTTTCATTCCAAATAATTAAACACTAACTACATTAGTAAATGTTGTAAGTTGCTTTAGGAAATATATTTTCAAATTGGTTGAAATTATTTTTTCCTTTCATTGAAGCCTTTATTAACTAGGTAAGTGATTATTAAACTTTTTGTGTACAAGATTAGTTTTATTTAAAAATAACTTTTTAATGTTTATTTACTTTTGAGAGAGACAGAACGTGAGCAGGAGAGGGGCAGAGAGAGAGAGATAAGGAGACAGAGAATTCAAAGTAGGCTCCAGGTCTGAGCTGTCAGCACAGAGCCCAACATGAGGCTTGAATTCACGAACGCTGAGATCATGACCTGAGCTGAAGTCAGACATTTAACCAACTGAGCCACCCAGGCGCCCCTAGTTTTCTTTTTAAAAGCAAGTTTATTAAGGATAATTCATAGTAGTGTACAGTTCTGTGGGATTTGACAAATGCATACAGTTGTGTAACACTACCATAATCAAGACATTGAACATTTCTATCACCCTACAAGAGTTCTTCATCTTCCTTTGTAATGGACCTATCTGATCACACCCAGCCCTGGCAATCACTAACAAGGTTTTAGTCTCTACAGTTTTGCTTTTCCAGAATATTACAGAAAAGGAATTATATGGTATGTAGACTTTTGATTCTACAGCATAATGCATTTGATATTCATCAGTGTTGTGTTTAGCAGTTGTGTCCTTTCTTTTTTATTGCTGATGAGTGTCTGTTTTATTGCTATGTATGTAGCACACATTATTCATCCACTCATCAGTTGTAGGACTTGGGGTTCTTTCCGGTTTTTGACAATTATGAATAAAGGCACTGTAAATATTTGCAAATAGGTTTTTGTGTGAATATTTGTTTTCATTCTTCTTGGGTAAATACTTAGGAGTGAACTATTAGATCACTTTGAAAGTGTACATTGAGCATCTGTGTGGCTCAGTAGGTTATGTATTTGACTTCAGCTCAGGTCATGATCTTACAGTTTGTAGGTTAGGGCCCTGCATTGGGCTTTGTGCTGACAGCTCAGAGCCTGGAGCCTGCTTTGAATTCTGTGTTTCCCTCTCTGTCTGCCCGTCCCCACTGACACACTGTTTCTCTCTCAAAAATAAACATAAAAAAAAATTTTTTAAGTGTATGTTTAAATTTGTAGGAAGCTACCAAAATGTTTTCCAGAGTGACTGTATGACTTTTGCATTCCCTTTTTTAAAATTTTTATTTAAATTTTAGTTAACATACAGTGCAATATTGTTTTCAGGAATAGAATTCAGTGACTCATCACTTAAATACAACACCCAGTGCTCAACACAATATGCACCCATCACCCATCTAACTCATCTTCTACCCACCTCCCTCCATTAACCCGCAGTTTATTCTTTATCATTAAGAGTCTTTCGTGGTTTAGGGGCGCCTGGGTGGCTTAGTCGGTTAAGCGTCCGACTTTCGCTTAGGTCATGATCTCGCGGTTCGTGGGTTCGAGCCCCGCGTCGGGCTCTGTGCTGACTGCCAGCTCAGAGCCTGCAGCCTGTTTCGGAGTCTGTGACTCCCTCTCTCTCTGACCCTCCCCTGCTCACACTGTCTCTCTCTCTCTCCTAGAAATAAATAAAAAAATATTTAAAAAAAAAAAAAAAAAGAGTCTTTCGTGGTTTGTTTCCCTCTCTCCTCTTCTCCCTCCTTCCCCTATGTTCATCTGTTTTGTTTCTTTATTCCACATATGTGTGGGGCACCTGGGTGGCTTAGTCAGTTAAGTGCTGACTCTTGATTTTGTTTCAGGTCATGATCTCACTATCATGGGGTCATGAGATCAAGCCCTGCATCAGGCTCCACACTGAGCATGGAATCTGCCTAGGACTCTCTCTCTCCCTCTTCCTCTGCTCACCCCCTGCTCATGCTCTCTCTCTCAAAGTAAATAAAGAAATAGATTCCATGTATGAGGGAAATCATATGGTATTTGCCTTTCTTGGACTTATTTTGCTTAGTGTAATACATTCTAGCTCCTCCAGGTCATTGTAAATGGCAAGGTTTCATTCTTTTTCATTTTTTAAAAAAGTTTAGGGGCACCTGGGTGGCTTAGTCGGTTAAGCGTCCGGCTTTCGCTTGGGTCATGATCTCGCGGTTTTTGGGTTCAAGCCCTGCGTCGGGCTCTGTGCTGACTGCCAGTTCGGAGCCTGGAGCCTGTTTTGGAGCCTGTGTCTCCCTCTCTCTCTGACCCTCCCCCTGCTCACGCTGTCTCTCTCTCCTAGAAATAAATAAAAATATTTAAAAAAAATAAAAAAGTTTATTTATTTTGAGAGTGTGAGCAAGGGAGGGGCAGAGAGAGAGCGGAAAGAGAGAACCCCAAACAGGCTCCGTGCTAGTGCAGAGCCTGAAGTGTGAGATCATGACCTGAGCCAAAGTGAAGAGTTAGACACTTAACTGATTGAGCCACCCAGGCACCCCAAGATTTCATTCTTTTTTATTAATATTCCATGTGCGTGTGCATATGTGTGTGTGCATGTGTGTGTGTGTGTGTGTGTGTTGTACACACACACCACATCTTTATCCCTTAATCAGTAGATGAACATTTTGGCTCTTTCCATAGTTTGGCTGTTGTTGATAATTCTCCTATAAACATTGGGGTGCTTGTAACCCTTTGAATCTGTATTTTTGTGTCTTTTGTGTAAATACTTAGTAGTACAATTGCTGGATGGTAGGGTAGTTACATTTTTAGTTTTTTTGAGGAACTTCATACTGTTCTCCAGAGAGACCGTACCAGTTTGCATTCCCACCAGCAGTGCAAGAGGGATACCCTTTTCTACACATCTGCACCAAGACCTGTTGTTTCTTGTATTGTGACTTTTGCATTCCTACTAGCAATATATGAGAGTTTACAACATCCTTGCCATTATTTAATATTGTCAGATTTTTTTGTTCAGCAATTTTTTTAATATTTATTTCTGAGAGAGAGAGAGAGAAACAGTGTGAGCAGGGGAGGGTCAGAGAGAGAGGGAGACACAGAATCTGAAACAGGCTCCAGGCTCTGAGCTGGCAGTCAGTACAGAGCCTGACGCGGGGCTCGAACCCACAAACCGTGAGATCATGACCTGAGTCGAAGTTGGACGCTTAACCGACTGAGCCACCCAGGCGCCCCTGTTCAGCAATTTTAATAGGCATATGATGGTATTTCATTCTGGTTTTAACTTTCATTTTCCTAAGGACAAATGATGTTGAGGATCTTTTCATGTGCTTATTTTCCATTTTTATAATTTCTTTGATGAAGTATTTATTGTTCATTTTTTATTGGGGTACTTGTTTTCTCATTAATGAGTTTTAAGATTTCTTTATGTATGCTGGATATGGATCCTAATCAAATAACTGTTTTGGAAATACTTTTTCCTAGTTTGTGACTTTTTTCATTTTCTAGACATTTTGAATAGAAGTTTTTCCTTTTTTTTTTTTTAATTTTTTTTTAATGCTTTATTTCTAGGAGAGAGATAGAGAGAGACAGTGTGAGCAGGGGAGGGTCAGAGAGAGAGAGAGTCACAGACTCTGAAACAGGCTCCAGGCTCCAAGCTGGCAGTCAGCACAGAGCCCGACACAGGGCTCGAACCCACGAACAGCGAGATCATGACCTAAGCGAAAGTCAGACGCTTAACCGACTAAGCCACCCAGGCGCCCCGAGAAGTTTTTCCTTTTAATGAAATCTTGTTTGTCCAATTTTTTTCTTTTATGGATCTTGTTTTGCCTACAGGATATCTGGATATTACCATTTGCGTTTTTCTTAGAAGTTCTTAAAGAATTAACAAAAGAGTTCATATTCTTAACAAGTTAGGGAAGGAAATAATGGATTTTACTCTGTTAACACTGGAGTGTTGGATTCCTATAGTCTCAGGCCACACCTTATCACAACCTAAAGCACTAACTGGGGTAAGAAAGTTGGCTCTTTGTGCACTTCTCTTGGTTGTGAAGGTTAGCATCAGTAGTAATAGCCGGTGTTTTTTGCCTATTAATCCTAAAAATTTAATCTCTAAATTTCTGCAGCCTTTAGTTCCCTCTCTTGTGTGCAATTCCAGTGGGCTCTGCTACCACAAAGACTTCCTCTGGCCTCTGGTTCTCAAAGACTCTTGAGTTAGCCTTCCTTTTTCACTTCTTATCAGTTCAAATATGAAGGTTATCAGTTTGGAACTTGTTGATGTTCACATATGTGGCATTTTGCCTTTCACATGGGACTTTAAGGATCACCTCAGTTCTAATTTGATTTGAAATCTAACTAAAACTTTGTTTTTGTCTTTTTTTTAGGTTTGGTGTGGTGGACTTTCTTTGAATACTGGGATGCAGGTTCCAAGTGCTGTGAGAACACTTCAGAAAAGTGAAAATGGAATGACGGGTTCAGCTAGCAGCCTAAACAATGTTACTCAGTAATGCTCACTCAGAATATGTTTCACTCCTTTTGACTGGGTGGCCTTTTCTGTGCAGTTGCTAATCACAGAAATTTACAAGTGGTGGAAATCAGGTTTGCTACCTTCTGCTTTAAGGCCTGAAATGTGTTAGCATTAAGCATCTAGTACCAAGTACTCAAGGGAACCTACTGTGCAGTAACATCAAGCAAGCAGATAACTGAGCAAGAAACTGATGTTTTGAAGAGCAAATGGGAAAAAAGGCAGTGTTTAAATAGTTACATAGAAACTCATTTTCTTGGATTACTTTGGCTCTTCTAATATGTTTAGTTAGTATGTAGCCCTAGGATCTGAAAGAAAGCATTTAAATCTTGTCTTCTTTCCCTTATACTTTATCTCATCACTACCTATTATTAGGTTCTTATACTGAAGCTTTAAGAATATACAGTCTTCTAAAGTTTTCTAAAAACTGAAATCATTGATTGGAGATGCTAGAAATTTTCCTTAATTGTTCTTTTGTAAAGAAGTTGAGTTTTGCTAAATTATCCTCTTTTGCTTTATTTACTAGGTGGTTTATCATTTTCTCTTTTCCAAATGCTGTGATATTTCTCTTGAGTTAAAACTCAAAATAGAGTGGATAGGAAGAGTTTAGCTTAAAATCACTCATACATTAGTGGGTTTTTTTTTTTCATTTTGTTTGTTTTACCTGCTGCACTAACAGTGGCAAAGGGATATCCTTTATATGTTGCCTCGTTTAATTAGACTTCTTTTCATTCCATCATTTTGGATGATGGATAAGATTATTTAAAGCTTTCTATTTTCTGATTTTATTGTTGGGTTTATTACTACCTTTAATAGTTGTCTTGGTAAAATTCCCACTTGAATTTGGTAATAATTGATAATTATATTGATTTTTAATATTTCCAGTAGGAGTGAAATTTTATTAAAGTTAAAAAAAAGGTAGAAAAGCCTGCACCATTTAAGTTTTATCTAAGAAGATACATTATAAAGGGAGATGCCTAAAACTACTGAGGTCATTTATGTCTGATTTTTAATAAGGTATGGAATGGTTTAAACAAGTGTTTTGAAAAATGTCTACATATCTCTGACTTATTTGCCACATGAGTTTTTCAAACATAATTATTCAGAGGTTATTTTTCATATTTGCTTTCTAAAGGGGTATAATTCTTCCAAAAATCATGATAGAATAATCTTTCCCAACCTTAGGGAAAATATGTTGAACAATGAGTAAAACCCATGGTTATTGAGTCGAACATACCTATTTTCTAAAAGTTGGTTAAAAATTTTAATACAAGTTCTTTGAGCCAAACTGAAAGTTATGATTACAGTATTTAAGATTCCTTGAGCATTTTAGGTGGTCTCTGAATTTTACTTTCTCATGTTGACATTTTTTCATTCTTATTTTAAGTGTATTATGCTATGACAACCTTCTGTCAAGAAGGGACTATTGCTGCTTACATCTGAGCTGCCTTCTACAGAAAGACCTGTGGAATAGGAATAACTCGTTCTGTCTTAAAGTTTACTGCTTACTGATATGAGATTTTTTTTTTTTGATAAAACCAGACCTAGATGAGGAATTTTATTTGAACTTGGTATTATTTTTCCAGAGGACATTTATATCTGCACCATTGTGTCATGACATATTGGTAGTTTTTAAAGACTGTAAGGCAGTTGAGAGAATGAAGTATGCCAATCGATATCCTTTTGATTCTCTAACTATAATTTTGGTTTTTGTTCTTCCTAGAGGTTTTGAAAAATTTTTTTTGTCTGTTCTGTTCCCTACAGTGGTGTTATTCCAGGACCTAAGGAAACAGGAAGTTATAATTCTCTTTCATAGAGTTACATCTGAAAGCAGTAATTTAGTGGTAGAACTACTTTATGTGAAGTTACACATGTATATTTTAGCAAAAATGACACAGAAAAAGCCAGAAGTTCTTGTATAAAATTTTTTACTATTATGTCTTATGTAATTGTGTCTTCTCTTTAATTCAGTGCCTTCTTCCTCTAAGTGAGCTCTTACTCCATGCCCCATGCAGCGTCAACTGATATTTAAGCCAGAGACCATTATGTTATACTGGTGAGGGCCTTCTATTGCAGGTGTATGGAGCAGAGGAAATATTAATCAGGGGCTGGAGGAGTGCATATGATTCCATCCTGTGCTCATGCCACCATTTGAAACCCTTCATTTAAATTTTCTAATATTCATTTGGAAAATTCATTTGAAGTAATAACAATTATTACTTCGAAATAAGAATCTGAGGTTTTCCTGTTACTATGTATGCTGCTTCTTAAAGCCTCTAAATATAAAGAACAAAAGTTTTAAATTCATATGTGTTAAGTGAAACTGGAAAAGTCTGCCACCCTCATTTTCAAACTAGAAAATAATCAACTGTAGTGCCTATTTAAATAGTATCAAATTAAGGTAACTATTAACTTGACCATAATATATAACATTCTCATTGTCATTTGAATTAAAAACTATTGAGCCTTTTTGCTCAATTTTAATGCACTGTGGGAAGATGGTATACCCTTTCAGACTTCCTTTGTTCATTTGCTTACTCTTTGTTTTGACGGGTCAAACATGATTGCTTTCTGTAAAAGAAATGCATGAGAGGTTGACGGTAACAGATGTCTGGCAGATATAAAAAATTTGTTTTATAAAAACATGCATTTGATATTGCATTTCTCTTTTAGCAGTTGAATCCCAAACCAGTTTTAGTAAACTTGACTAAAGAAATGAAGGAATTGCCTTAAGCACTTTAGAAAAAGAATTTTTTTACAATTCATTTTGGCTATTTGGGCTTACCATGTCACATATGTGTTTAACTTTTGGTAAATATGTATATATCAAGCATTTAATAACTGAGCACACATAGAAATTTAATATACAGTGATTCTTTGAATGTTCCAGGTATAAGTAAACAAACTGAAAGTATTAGAGGCATGCCTGTCTGTACATGGGTTTTATTGATGGCATCTGTACCGTGTAAACAAACCGTTAACTGCCACTGTACAGCTAGGCTTGGCCTACCTTGTTCTGCAAACAGTAATTTTTTTCCTGTGTTATCATTTAAAGAAACATATTGGCTAGTTTTATTTACTCACTTATTAAAGTACAAACGTGTATAATTTGAATTTTTTGTGACTGATATTGGTGGTATAAATAATAAAAGTAAATAATTTGTAATGAAATATTTTAATTAGGCTCACATACTCCATTTCATGACTTACCCAGAATGATTATTTTTTCTCTATACTTCTAAAATTATAGTTGTTTCTTTTGAGAACATGAAAAAATTGGGAAAGGATTTATATATATATAAAATGATTATTTCAAAGAATATTAATTCTGGAAGAGGACACTGTAGACTTCTTACTATAAAATATTATGATTCCAGGCTAAAGATACTAAGGACTAGGGGTGCCTGGGTGGCTCAGTCGGGTAAGCGTCCAATTTCGGCTCAGGTCATGATCTCACAGTTCATGGGTTCAAGCCCTGCATCAGGCTCTATGGTGACAGCTAGTTCAGAGCCTGGAGCCTGCTTCAGATTCTATGTCTCCCTCTCTCTCTGACCCTCCCCTGTTCACACTGTCTCTATCTCTGTCTCTCAAAAATAAATAAAACATTAAAAAAATTTTTTTAAAAAGATACTAAGGACTATACTTTCAAGTCGCTGTAATTCTTTTTTAAAACCCCATATTTATTAGATCAGTGTCCATTCATTGACTAATTCATACAACAGATATTTAAGTGTCTCTGATATGGCAGCCATACTTTGTATCTGGATTTCCACAATTAGTGAAGTTTGATTTACTATACATATAATTTTGCTACTTTTTTTTAAATGTTTATTTTTTTGAGGCAAAGAGAGACTGAGCTTGAATGGGGGAGGGGCAGACAGAGAGGGAGACACAGAATCCGAAGCAGGCTCTAGGCTCTGAGCTGTCAGCATGGAGCCTGACGCGGGGCTCAAACTCATGGATTGTGAAATCATGACCTGAGCTACCCAGGCGCCCCAGGTTTGCTACTTTTGAGTAATGTGACAAAGTTTGCATCTTAAAAACAATGCTTTTGCTAATAAGTCAAATTTTAAAAAGTAAATTTATTAGAGTTTATACAAAATTCAAATTAACTGCATGTAATATTGTTCACTTTTATATAGTCACATACAATGGATCTAGAACAGTTTTTTCTTTGATTTTATTTTAAACTGGATATATTCTTTTAGGGAAGTGTGTGGTCAGTATAAATTTATTCAACACCCAAATAACCACAAAGTTATTTGCTACTTTCAAACAAAATGTACATTTTATAATGCCAGTACTAGAACGTTCTAATAGATCATGAATACTTCCTTAATCATTACAGAACGATTACCTCATGTTAGGTATAGTTTTAGTTTTATGTGTATCTTACAGTATTCACATTATACAAATATTGTGACCGGACATGCTTTGTTACCTGGAATGTTTGATTAATGTAAATACTTAAAGCTTTTTGAGTAATTTGGAGTTTAAATGGATTGCATTTCCTATATATTGTTTTTATTGAAAAAATATTGTTGGACTTGACATATAAAGGTTAGTACTGGCTTATAAATAACAGAGATCGCCACAGTACTTTTCTCCTTAGACTACCCAATTATTAAATTAAAACAGTATTTGTTATTTCTGGGTCAATATAAGGTACTCACTTTTGATTCATAGTCACTTGAGCTATGTTAGTTTAAACGGATATATTTTCTTAATGATACCCATTCACTCAAAGTTGGCCTTTGGAATGGGCATTTAGAGGATTTCACAGTATGTAGGGCAGAAGGTGGGTGAATGTGTTTGCTTTGGCTTGGAGCTCTATAAGTTTGGACCAGTTTTAAAATAAGTCAAATATAAGTGATTGGTAAAAGGCATTTCTATTAGTATTGGAAATTTTTGGAGAGCCTAATGGCTATAAGAATGCAAATATATATATATTTTTAACATTTTCAATATCTATAAGGTACCAAAGCACGGGTCTGATTTACCATTTAAGGGAGACTCTTTAAAATCAAATTTATAACTAATTCATACTATAAGATATATAACAATTAAAGTTTTGGAACAATTTACATTAAAAACCACTAGTCTTTAAGATTTCTGGATATAATATAAAAAGTATTTTGGTTTCGTTTTCTTTGAAGTAATTAATTAAATTTAAATTTAATCGCTCTCTACCATATACTGACTAGATTCTGTGACCTCTACATAAATCATTTCTCATCTTTGGGCCTCCATTGCCTTACATAAAGTACTTATAACTTGTTCAGCTTACCTCACAGGGCTGTTGTGAGAAATAAAATGAAATGGAGTGTGAAGTTATTTCAATAACAGTAAAATGCTATGTAAATGTAAGGCATTATTTTAAGTGAATAATGGATTTAAGTGTTGGGATACTTCTAGATGTTCTTTCTTTTAATAAAGCATGTGCTTAAAGTGGTATCGCCAGGACTTCAAAGTGATTATTTAAAAAATGAAAGAAAGAAAACACCACCTGATTAAAATGCCCTTTAACATTCTTTTGTTTGTGCATGACTTGTGGCCTTTTTGTGTTT